CTGTTGTATTTGCTTCAAATACAGCGGTCGACAATCGGTGAGTTTACCCTCATTTTGAGTTTTCGCTCAGATAATTGGTCGCTTATTGTTTACGTTTGTTTTATTTTTATTCTAATCTAAATGACTGCACGGATGGCGTAGTGGTTTAAGCGGTCGGCACGCCGCTTCCTACTACGCCGAGTGTTTTGGGTTCAATGTTTTGGGTCCTTCACTCTGCAGTGCTGTTGTCCTGCGTAGTTATTTCCCTTAGTCGGCTCTTACGCCACCTACGGGATGAATAGGGGTGGTGACACTACCTGTAAGTATATATAGAGAAATAGTTCATAAGCGAGCGGTTCCTATAGTCTTCTTGCCCTTCCGTTGAAGATTTGCTGTTTTATGAATGGTATTTTATTTTAAGATCCTAAAATCATAAAATAATCATAATGTATTAAATAATGTGGAGTCAACCATGTAAAGACTCTTAAAAAAAACACACCTTAATAAACCTTTTACATTAAGCAAGTCTTTTCGTTGTCAGGGTGTGCGATTTTACAATAAAGTGCCAAGCAAATTCCATGAATTAAGTATTAACAAAGTTAAGTCTTTAGTAAAGCTAAAACTATGTGAAAAGGCTTACTACACTATTACAGACTATTTAGATGACAAATTTGCTTGGGATTGATACTGCTCACTCCCACATTTACGTAGATGATGGACATTTAATTATTATTTTTTGGTGTATTTCGTATTTAGTTTTCGTATTTTATTTTTCATTGACTTTGAATTGTATAGTATTTTTTATTTTTTGTGTAAGTATGTAAATGTGAGTATAGTGTAGGCTTGTAATGTTAATTCATGTTTTATTATCTTTCTGGTGGTTTTGAGTGTTTCCACGGCCTACCCAAATGTCCTGCTGGCGGTAGTGTCATGCTTCGGGTCGTTGATCTTGACCAATATCGGTTAGGCTACACGATGGCTGGAGCCTGTATGCCGTCTGTATGGACAGGCTGACTCAAAACTATGGTCCTTTCCTCAAAAAGCCTATCCAGACCCTATACTGTATTCACACAGTTTTATTTAACTTTGTTTACGGACTTAAAAAAAAAAGACACCTCTGTGGTTTGTTTCGGCGTTTCTTCCCAGAGTGAGTCTTAGGAAATGCCGGCTCCTTCTAGCCATAAACTCCGACTTGTAAAACTATCTGAAAAGATTTACTTACAGAAATAAATATCATTTATCATTTACCTGCTGAGTCACAGATCGTGGGTTCGATTCCGATATAAGCAATATTGACGTCACAATAATGCACCAACGGGACTAAAATTACAGTCGTTAAAATGCAATGTGTGGGATGTAAGCTTCTGATTTTCATCAAAGATCCTAAAATACTAAATCTAAGGAGATGGTAGTAGATAAATAATTATGACTGCACATATGGCGTAGTGGTTTAAGCGGTCGCCACGCCACTTACTACTACGCTGAGTGTTGTGGGTTCTGTTACACGGGGCCTTGACTTAGGCTTTTTAAAAAAAAAGGAAATAGTAAAGTAATGAACACTTTTAATAAAAAGAATAATTACAAGTAAAATGGAAAAGGCGAGTGTTCAATCAGAGGGTTCGGAAGAGACCTGATGCAACCTGGCGACGCTCTGAGTACTGGGATATCTGATACCCGCCTAGTAACGCTTAGCTCAGCGATGTCTCAGCGATGTCCCATACAAAAGGGGTATGTAACAGTTCGATCCCCCACATGGGACGCACAATTTGTGGGATCACAACTTTGTGTGATCCACAAATTGTTGTTCTGAGTCTGGGTGTTCTTTGTGTCCGTTTCATGTATGTTTGTAACCCCCCGCGACACTTATAAATAAGTATGGAAATATTCATTATGAGCTGAAAATATGAGTGTTTTTTTCAATTAATAATTGAAATTGCATAAGACAAGAGCCTGTTGATGATGACGATGAAGTGTTATAACTCTTCTAAGTACTACTTGCGATAAGTTTTAGAAATAGTTTAACGATGATTCGTTTTAAACCAGCCAAAGCTTATTCTTGCTAATAAAACATAACTAAATCCATATTTCGATAGTCCGTCTGATCCCAAACTAGGTAGAACCTGTGCTATAATAAAAGACTGCTGATAAACATATTTTTATAAATCTAAAATCGTAATTTATAGCCAGCCAAGGAATAAATTATAGTAGTTATCTATCACACAATTATTTGTCCTGGGTGGGAATGGAACTCACGCTCTCGGGTTTACTAAATTTGTCCTAAAATCGTAGGAAAACCAGTAAAGTGGCAACACAGTCTGCAATCTACATCAATCAAATTTTATAACTAAAATAACACAACATATTAAATGTGTAAATTGAGACTAATTGCGATAATATTTTATAAGATACGATACTGTACCGAATTTGCACCGAGTTGCTCGAATTGAAATGAAAATAATAATAGAAATACAACTATAATTGTATTCGTCATGACCAATGCAAGTTTGTCAAATTTCAGGCAAATCAAAGGCGTGCGGTATCCTGTTTAAGTATGCACGTTAATTCTCTTTAGTTACTCACATCATCAGCCTTTAATATCCCACTGCTGGACATAGGCATCTCATTAGAAAGGAGGTTTTGGCCTGTTGTACCACGTTGACCAGACGGGTTGGTATAGGGGTTAGTGTCAAGTTTTCCTTCTCTTTGCAGTGCTGTTGTCCTGCGTAGTTTTGCTCCCTTAGTCAGATCTTACGACAACCACAGGGATGAATAGGGGTTGTGACACTCCTTATTCTGAATCCGTCCACCAACACGGACTTTACTTTTTCAACACTCTTTAGATACTAATCATTTTATACAAGAAGCAAAAGTCTTTCAGAAATAGTTTTTGTTTTGTAATATCTGTAATGGAGTCATTGGCAGTGATAAGAAAAACTAGAAGTTCTTCATATTTTCATCTAATTACCTACTTTAGGTACCTAATAGGGGTTAATGGAACATCCCAAATTTAGAGTTGGACTGGAAGTGGTTTAAATTCAAATTATTATTTGATTTAAATGGGGTAGTAATAATGTGTTAATTACAAAACAAGTTTGATATAAATCGAACAGGCCCCCATTTAGCCATGAAAATAGCATGCAAATTTAACAAATGATTAAAGTTGCCTCAGATCAACCATGTATACTTATATACCGACTGCACGGATGGCGTGTGGTGTGTAAGCGGTCGCCACGCTGCCTTCCTACTAGCGCCGAGTGTTGTGGGTTCAAACCCACATGGGACGACACTTTGTGTGATCCACAAATTGTTGTTCTGAGTCTGGGTGTTCTTTGTGTCCATTTCATGTATGTTTGTTAAAGTCCCCGCGACACAGGATATATTCCTAATGCCTATTTTTTATCCACAAAACGTAAGAGCTATTTTGCATTTTGGTATCATGTCCAGAACGAGCCTGTCTGGGTTCCTTATGTTATCACGCCGAGTAACATCGTTTGCCTGTTTAAATACCTTAGGGGTTTTTTTGATAAATTCCCTACCTCTAAGATACTAAAGGCAGGAAAAAAGGGAGTATTTTTAGTTGTTTTAATAAAGGCGACATGATATCTCTGGAGCAAAATCACATATCGATCTAATGATATTTTTGATCAACAAAACCTTCTGAACCTCTGAGGCTATTACCCCATATTAATAGTCCATACCGAAGAACAGATTCGACATTAACAAAATAAGCCGTGCACGCTGTATTTTAGGTGCTATTTTTGCTAATTTATAAAGAGCATATGAAAACCATCACTTCTTGAATTTGTTCTTTCCAATTGAATTTAGAATTTATTATTAATCCAAGAAATGCCACGTAATCAGCATTCGATAACGGGTTATTTTCTCTTCGTCTAAGCTGTATTCATAATACTCCAGTAATTTAAATATATCATCATCCAGCAATCGTCACTCCCACCTGGCCAGTGGGCGTCCTACACCTACCTACTACCTACAAAGAAAACTCGCATGTAACAAGAAATACACTTAATATCTCTGAGAGACGGATACGCGACCCCAGACTTCAAGCATTTGCTGTCTCTTCTGTCCCCATTCAAAACTTGAATCCCTTAACCTAGTTAACTCACTGTAACAGTCTTCTTTACCTTCCAACTTACCTTCTGCATATGTTCCTGTATGGAAACAATTATTATTGACAAAGAGGAGTTGGCCATTTAGGTAAGCAGATAACCACAAAATAAACAAGCCAAAACCATTTACAGCCGCGACTGATGATGTTAGTACAACAAGCAATCAATACACTAACCAGATACGGCACAGCACTACCCGTACGTCATCCATTATTGAAAATGACAAGTCCTCCTCTCACAGGCTAATTAAAAGCTTTCAATAAGTCAGATTACATATCATCACCATTATCAACACTAATCCTACATGACATCCTAGAAAAAGATTCCTAAGTGCCTTCCACCATTTTAATCGCATAGATTAAGCCCTCCATTAAGTTAGTAGCTATCAATTACAACAGTGTAACTGATAATGTTGGCAGCACAGACTAAGTGATTAAAATTCGACAGTGTTATACAAACCGCCCATCATGTGCGCATGTAACAAAAGAAATTCATTCCCTCATCGATGATATACTCCAAGATGTTAAAAGAAACCCTACAAATCCTTAAGCCAGGAACCCACAAAACCACTCACGTGCACACGGACTCCGACCAGTCGACAGAACAAAAGAATCATTGAAACAAAAATCAGAGAACGAACACGGAAAAACTTGACACACAAGTTAATGTCGAAATACAGAACAGTGATACAAAAATAACCCTAGACTCATAGAAGAAATTACTTATCCCATTTATCCCATGCCGATTAAACCGAATACCATGGCCCATACACCAGAAAGGAGTCTGGTTACTTAGATAGACCGCCGTTTTAATTACTACAGCTCTCCCGATATTTAAATTCCAGCCAACTTTTAAGAAACACAGTTAGCAGCAAATAGGTTTATCACACTCCTTATGCGGTTCCGTCAAGCTTACGGATTTGAGAGAGGTATGTCACATAGTTCTTTAAACCTAAATCTGTTACTCATAACGTACTTCAACATTTACATTAACGATATACTTAATCCGCTACAAGATAGGGCTTCATCGATAAAAACAAACATAACGATTCTTACATCGAGTTAGATAACTAATCGATAATCATTTCTACGATTTTATACAAGTGGTGGTTATTGAATCAATGTTTACGTCATATCTATTCATAATATTTTATGCTTTTCACCTGTCATGTGTGCCTGTTTGTTTAACAAGGCGAATGATCAATATTTAGATGATATTATCGAAAAATTTGTAGTAGATAATTTGAAGAATGATTGTTGTAACCGCGTTGTAAACCATTAAAATCGGTAAACATTACATACATATTTTATTACCTCAATACAAATTAGTGTAACCTAGAAAATGAAATAGGTATAATATTATTTGAATGCACGAGACTAATAAAAGTTTTACTAAAAACTGATAAGAATATGGTTTTACTCACGTATGGATTTCGGAAAAGCCTGATTAATTTTGGACCCAACTCGGATCCTGTTCCAAGGCAAAGGCGTCTTGCCCCGTCGGTGTGAGACGATACAATACACACATAATTCAACCCGTATAACTTTACCACTTCATTTTCACGATTTTTTTTTATTCCGTCAAGAAGTCTGTATTTTCCTTCATAGTAAAAGCACCTTGCACTTTTGCCGCACCGCGTATTTCTAAATAAAGTCAGGAAAATTCAAACTCCAATTGAACGGCTCCAATAACTCCAATGACTGCACGGATGGCGTAGTGGTTTAAGCGGTCGCCACGCTACTTACTACTACGCTGAGTATTGTGGGTTCGATCCCCACACACACTTTGTGTGATCAACAAATTGTCGTCCCGTTCGTCGTTCTGAGTCTGGGTGTTCTTTGTGTCCGTTTCATGTATGTTTGTTAAGTCCCCCGCGACACAGGATATATTCCGAATGCGGGAGTAGTCTTTTTCAAAAAAAAAAGAACCCCACAGCATACACAAAATATTAAATTGCCAAATAACTATACACTAGATTAAAACATTTTGCCTTTAGCGCACCAAGTTCTCTGTCCGCCCCGTACTCAGTACACGAGGAACTGATTTTTAACGATGTTTTATAATCCTTAGTAAATCATTTTTTTCTTTTCATCATCCTAAAAGCTCTTATTTTCACCGAAATGATTATTGATACTTCCATTATTACAACCAAAAGAAATCAATGCTCATGTTAAGCCTAGGATACACTCGGATTTTGATAATGGCTTATCTGCTTTAATAGAGCAATGAGCCATGAAATCGCCTTATATTATAGTATACGACTTCAAACATGGGATAGTTATTAATTTGATTTATTGTTAGAAGTCTAAGAATTATTTTTGCTATACTTGTATAGTTCTAACCCATTTCACTTAATTTAGTCGATTGGCCTGTTGGTCTAGTGGTTAGTGACACTGACTGGTAAACCGGAGATCGTGGTCTCGGTTTCCACCCAAGACAAATAATTGTGTGATGAGCACGATCATTTATTCTGTGTTTGGGTGTCATCATCAACAGCCTTTAATAGTCCACTGCTGGACATACGCCTCTCCTTAGGACGGAGGTTTTGGCCTACTATACTACGCTGGCCAGACGGGTTGGTATAGAGTTTGTGTCAAGTTTTCATTCTCTTTCCAGCGCTGTTGCCCTGCGTAGTCTTAAATACCTTACTTACAAAAAATATTTCTTAGATCGAAAAAGGGGGTTTCGGCCGGTTGATATAGGGTTTGTTTCAAGTTTTCCTTCTCCTTGCAGTGCTGTTTGTCCTGCGTAGTTTGTTCCCTTAGTCGGCTCCTACGACATGGCGACATTTCGTATTCTTAACCCGTCACCACACGTTTGAGTGTAATTTAACTATAAAATGTATATATCTAGAAATATATACATAGGTCAGTTAATTAATAGTTTATCATCAGTCTAGTTACTATTTTTTTTTTTCGTGTGGCAACCCCTTCGGGCCGTCACCCCACCGGGGTTTACGGCTTGGTGGTGTGTCAAAATCGGACCGACAAAAACCACACGGTTTGCGACTCTAATAAAAATAGGAGGGTTCCGGGAACTGTTGTTATTAAAACATCCGGACCCCTCCTATTTGCCACCCGCAAATTGCCACCGTGTGCTGAGCCGAGTCCTGACTGCAATAGCAGTGCTGACAGGTGGGAATCAATTCTCTCCTAGCGACTGAGTACAGGTACTTTGCGAAGCAGCCGTACCCGTAAAGAACCTGCGTCAGTCGGAAGGAAAGAGTCCCGTGCTGCTGCCCTGCCCACTCGAAATGACTGGCTGAAGCGCTTCCATGGCGGCAAAACCAGCACATTGTGCGGCCTCATGCCTCTCGCGTCTTCTTCGCCACTTCTTGGGACGGGGGCCGACTGCCGGACTGCCCGGAACTCAACCGTCTGCCGATATACTTCGGAGCACAAACTTTACCTAGTTTGGGATCACACTAAAGTCTGTGAGAAGTTACTATTATTATAATCCCATGCACAATAGTTGCACAATAAAATTCCGTTAGTTAGAAAATTTAACTGTTAGTGTTAGACTTTAAGAACAATACTGAAAACGTAAATGACTATTTCCGTGTGGTGACCGATTAAGAATACTCACAATGTCACCACACCTATTCATCGCGTGGGTGTCGTAAGAGCCGACTGAGGGAGCAAACTACGCAGGACAACAGCACTGCAAAGAGAAGGAAAACTTGAAACAACCCTATATCAACCGGCCGAAACCCCCTTTTTTAAATAGAGGCCTATGTCTAACAGTGGACTGTTATAGGCTATTGATGATGATGATGATGATGAGACCTTTCGCGAGGCTATCGCTAGCGTAATAATAATAATTAGTCGCAGTGGTTTTGTAATTTAGTCACGGGTGTGATTTAATAACATCTAAATCATTGTCTTTGTCTCAATCATTGATTTATCGCATGTGAATGTGATTTTATTAATTCCCTACTTTCGATACCACTTACTCAATCTCTCTCGCCCTATTCGCTTTCGTCCCCGAAACTTTTTGCCCCGCAGAACCAATCTGTGGAACACGTTATCGTCTGCGGTATTTCCGAACCGATACGACCTTCAAACCTTCAACAAAAAAAAACGCGTACTCCTTCCTAACAGGCCGGCAACGCGTTTGTGACTCCTTGAGTTGCAGACGTTTATGGGCGGCGATGGTCACTTTCCATCAGGTGACCCGCCTGCTCATCTGCCCCCTCTAACATAAAAAAAAACTTTGATCTGTACGTAAACAAGTGTAAATGTTCAGCATGATTGACTTGATTTGACTGCACGGATGGCGTAGTGGTTTAAGCGGTCGCCACGCCGCTTCCTACTACGCCGAGTGTTGTGGGTTCAAACCCCACATGGGACGACACTTTGATCCACAAATTGTTGTTCTGAGTCTGGGTGTTCTTTGTGTCCGTTTCATGTATGTTTGTAAAGTCCCCCGCGACACAGGATTTATTCCTAATGCGGGAGTTGTCTTTTTAATACAGAAAGAAAGAAAGATGAGAATAAAAGGAATATTGAATGTTATCTAATTGTGATAAGATTTATTAACCCTTGAGAAGTTTTATTTACTGTTCGACATGTATTATCAAAATTGATAATTATTTATACTTAGTATATACATTAATATTTTTATTACAATTGTAAAAATATCTATCTTTGTCTTATCAGAAGTATTGTTACAGCCTGATATAAGTTTATAAGTATCTATAATATATTATAAGTATGTTTTATTAACTGAAATCGACGATTTTTCATTCAATTGGATAGTATTATTATCTTTTTAAAGAACTTGGGACAGCAATTCTTAGCTAACACAAAATTGTGTGTCCAAATGTTGTGTGTCCACTCAATTTATTCTATCTAACGTTAAAATTCGAATGTGTGTGTGTTTACTAAATTTAATGCTTTTTACATTAACATTGTGGATTGTTATAAGCTTCTGAAAGGGAACTATAAAACCAGTTATTTACTATCATAGTAAGAAAGTGTTATTCGAGTTTGTGCGAAGTCCAGTGTCACCAAATACATGCAATGCAATTCATGTATTATATATTGTACACGTTTTATTTGACATTATTACTAACACTATTGAGCCAATCAGGACAAATTAAATATGGCGAACCAACTATAACATAATTCGTCTAGTTTAAAATATTTTTTTACAGAAACCAAGGAAACCATCCTCAATATTTCTAACTGTTACAATTAAAAGTATTGTATCCCTCCACTTTAATTAAATTTAGGTAACATATAATAAGTTAAGGCAGCGTTCGGAATACGTGGGAACGTTTCTCCCCTGTATAAATATAAACATGATATACCTAAATACATACATGATGTTTACTATATATGTGAGCCAGGAAAACTTTTGAAAGCAGGTGCGAGGCGATGTACTAGACTCTAGATGACAGTACACCTGTACACTAAGCTACTAAGCACTAGTAAGCAGCTAGGCGTTCGGTATCTGCATTTAATAAACTAAATAAACTTTTATTGAGTAATAGATTATCAGATATGAGTAGGCTGGCCGTACCCACTTGCTTCCTATGCCAATAATTCGTAAAAAAATACAATCTATAACCTCAATAATATGTTATCTGTTCCAATTAAAGAATACATCAATTCTTATCGATTAAAAACTTATTTAATCGATAACAATATTGGTTATTAGTGGAAAAATATATAAATTTCCTGTATCTTATCATTGTGTATCTGTGTATATGTTGTTTCTGGTGTCCGTTAGTACATAGGAGTTGGAACAGGGCTTTTTATCTTTGTTGTATTGCTATAATTTGTTAAATTGAAACTATTTTTATCGATTGTTAGGTATATGATTGTATATGTAGGTATACCTTATATGAGTGACTTATGACTTCTGAGGTTATTTATAAGTTAGGATCATGGACGTATTAAAAAAGTCGGACATTGTCTCACTACCAAAAATCTGTGTCACTCATAGTCAGCCAGCTCGCTGTACGTACTGGCCGATACGCACACTTACACACATTAGTCATCCATTACGTGCGCAAACATCGAGACATCGAGACGCATTACGCGGCGAAAAAAATTAATAATACAATATGCTTTGCGTGGTGAAATGCTGTAAAAACCGTACTGACCGAAAGAGCAGTAATCCAGGAATCATGAATGAAAAATGAATAATGCAATCACTTATTTCCAGAATTTATACATTAAAATCCATCTTCATTGGCTAGAACGAAACAATTCATTATAAGCCAAGTGTTGCCAATTTCCACGTGTGCAAATTACCCGAAATATAGGTAATTCTTGGTTGATTATTAAAATCAATTGATTAAGGTTATTTATTTAATGGTTACTACTAGATATTTTATTTCATATTCTTAATACATACTTTCAGCGGACTAGAACACAGTTTTTAAATTAAATATATAGCGGCAAAAAAATATTTAACGATTCGATTTCACCACATCTCGAAATTAGAGACAATTTCAAGAACCTGTGATTGAGAGAAACAAATTGATTGTCAAAATCTTAATTAACATGCGATGGTCTGGACTAAACCTATGTTATCAATAATGTCTAATCTTTTATTTCCAGTTCCACCTAATTGCTGTAATCCGTGGTGGGGTTTAGGAGGCAGACGGAAGGGTGGCCAAGTTCGGTTCACAGCGGTGCAGACCGGTGCACTGGAACGTCGGTTCAACGCCAGCAAGTATCTCAGCCCTGATGAACGAAGAGCCTTGGCGAGCACACTCAGACTTAGCGATCGCCAGGTTAGTCCTTACTTCAGTAGTCCTGGAGACCTGGGCCTAAATGTCTTCTTAAAAAACTTTGTCCTCAAAAATTTACCCCTTACATGAATAATTAGTAGTTTTATGGTTCCATTTCTCACCTGACTTACAATTTTCTATTCGGTGTTATTTCTTTAAACCTTATCGTTTTTCAGGTCAAAACCTGGTTCCAAAATCGTCGCGCAAAATGGCGTAGAACGGCCCCAGATTGCGCAGACGCAGGCAGCCCGCCAACAGCCGACGACGAATCAGAAGATGAAGTAAATAAATATACTGACGAAGACTGACTCAACCAAAGAACTTGTTAGAACATACTCTTCTGGAGTACTCTAGAAAATAAAGAAAATAAAAAACGGGATCTTGAGTGAACCTGTTTTCGAGAATGGACAACTTTTTCGACTTTTATTTTTTTTTTAAAAAGTTTCAACTGTATATTTTGTTTGACTCGTAGCTTCATAGATTATGTAATAGAAATGATCATTTTGCAAAATGAAAATCCATTATCCGCAGTATTGTCTATATTAATTTGTAATAACTTTCTTCATAGGAATAGCGCATTTTAGCAGAGGTATTCCGTTAGAAACACTAAAGAAAGAAAGAAACATTTATTTGAACAGAATACGGGTGGTACCAGATTTAACAGTGGTGTATTGTTCAAGCTATAATCTGCCTGTATTAGGCATGCAAATATTTACATTGAAACACAAACATTAACTATTAATAAAAAAACATCAAGATATTTCCTAATTATATTAACAACCTTAAAAAATTAACAAAATGTCTAGAAATAATATTACTTATGTATTTCGCATATATATTATTATATTAAACTTTACAAATAATCGGATACATTGGTACTACACTGCACACATCTTTCTTATCGCGATAAATCCGCATGGACTACAATAATTAAAACACAATTTTACATGACATTACGTTTTTTTCAGTGTTAGGCTGAAAAACTCAAACTCAACTCTCTTAATTTCATAAAAAAAAAAAAAGTTTGAAGTCTTCTTTTATGTAGACTCTAAAGTCATAGAACAACACACACGGTATATAGGTGACGCTTTAATTGGCTACGTCATGAAAGAAATCGTAAAACGTCGTAAGCTTCATAACAAACATTGAACTCTATCTGCCTCTATGTTCTTAGCCGGTGTTCAAAATTAATTTAATTTTCCAGGTTTTAAACTTTTCGTGTAGTGACGGATTAAGAATACGGAATGTCACTACCCCAATTCATCCCGTGGGTGTCGTAAGAGCCGACTAAGGGCGCAAAACAACGCAGGATACCAGCACTGCAAAAAGAAGGATAACTTGACACAAACCATATACCAACCCGTCTGGCCAGCGTGGTATAGTAGACCAAAACCTCCTTTCTAAGAAGAGGCATATGTCCAGCAGTGGACTATTAAAGGCTGTTGATGATGATGATGATGATGTCCTATAATTTTCAACAGTAGAATTAAATTGATTAAATAATTTGAAACGACTTTATATACTGTTCAACGACGCTATCGAGCGCTTCACGACTGGACATCTGGACATCTCTGGAGCAATACAAATATGTCTAACTACTGCCGATGCGAAGTCAATCGGCGCTTTACGATTATCCATTTCATATCTAATAACTACAAACATTGAAAACCCCCCCAGTGATACCTAGGCTTTCAGATTAGATCGCAAAAATATTTAGAGATGTAATCCCAACTTGATGTAGTCTGTCGACATGACATCAAAGTTCAGTCATGTAAAGTCACACAAAATTATAATAATAATATTTCAGACATCTAACACAACGCCATCTAGTTTCAAACTAAGCAGAGCTTGTACTATGAAAACTAGATTGACTGATAGAATAGTTAGATACTTTTATTTGTAAATACATAGAAAAAACCCAAACTCCGAAACAAATATTTGCAGTTCATACAAACATTTGGTCCGACCCGGAAATCGACCCCGAGACCTCAGCACAGCAGTCGCATGCGGTCTGCACTATCGAGGCAGTCAAACAGTCATTCTAACTATTAAATATTAGGAGAAAGACACAAATTAGGAGGAAAGAGGACCACACTCACTCGTTTACCCCAGTTACCCCTGCGGTTACCTCACTCACTCGGTTAAATGCAACGAAAAATTTTCCTAAAACCGGATTTCTGAGGCCATGATATTAATCCTGTCGAGCCCTCTCTTACGTGCCGAAGCACCCCTCCTCCACAAATTTTTGATTTTATAATTTGTATTAAACAAACTAATTAAATTAATAATTAAAAGAATATATAGCTGTCTTTTAGTGTACGCACGATATGATACGACCCTAATTACTACAAATCTAGATCGATGACTGCCTAATATTAACAAATATATTTTTTATCTGTCCGATAATACCTTAGAACGTGCAATGCATCCACATCTTTGAGCACTTCAGTTATTAATCCACGTTATCATTATTATTTGATAACTAATCCGTAGATAGTGGCCGAAAAATAGTCATGTGGCTTGCTTATCCATTCTCGATTGACTTATGGCTTTGTTGATGGATGAATGGCTGGGTTTCCTTACAGCTATCTACATAAAGATGTTAAGTTGGCTTTTATCGCTTCAAAAACTCTTTGCACCGATTAAGCTCAAACTTTAACACGACATACAACCCCTATTAAAAGATTGTGTTTATCTAATAAGGGTTAAAGTATGAAATTGCCGTTGTATAGTAATAGATACTTTGAATTGACATAAAACATTCATGGTGTGAGATTTTCGTGTAAAACTTTATTTAATACCTATGAGGTTCTTCTTTTAACTCCCAAACTCCCGAGCGAGTGGTAGGTATTTAGACAACTATGGACCGCGGCTGCAACAAGAAATTCTGACACACGCATATATAATGTATTCATCCCGCTGGTGTCGTAAAAGCCGACTAAGGGAGCAAACTACCCAGGACAACAGCACTGCAAACAGAAGGAAAACTTGAAACAAACCCTATACCGACCCGCCTGGCTAGCGTGGTATAGTAGGCAAAGCCCTTGTTATTGCAGCATCGCACTTAGAAAGGAAACAACGTGTGACACTTGGGGCTCTTGCGTTGGAGGTGTCCATGGGTGGCAGCAATCATTTACCACTATGACCTGTGAGGCACGCTTTTTGCGTACTCTTTACGACTACCCGCGACTATGAAATCACACCTCCAGACACTCTCTGATGCTTGTCACTCTACACATTCATTTCCAATCATAACATTACATTCATTAAGAATTATTTCTTATAATAAATAAGTAGATGGTATAACACTATTGCATTGGGCTAAGCCTGTAAAAATAGTTGTTTTTAAAGAAAATAAATAAATAAATTATGTATAAGTGCCGTTGCCGGAGCCAAACCCCTCAGCCCCAGCAGCAGCAGGGGGGGATTGGAGTTACAAGTATCCATAGACCGCGGCAGTCACCATCAGGTGAACCGTCTGCTTATTGCCCTTTGCCATGAAAAAAACGCATAAAATGCCAGTCTGTCTTAAACCTATTATCACTGTAATCCATTAAAGGATTATGTTGATTAAAAAGTTATAACTGTTATTTTGCATTTAACTGTAGATATGGTATGATTTCAATATAGTTTTTAATCGTGTTATCTTCAAATCATTTACCTTAACTTGACTTTAACTTTGATTATTTGTCTGCATAGCGTTCTTCATATTTTTGTTATAATTTTAAGGAGCCAGCAAATAGCACCTTACGCATTTATTTTTAATGTAATTAAAAAAAGAGTTTCTAAATGTGACTGTTTTTGTGTATGTTACACTATATGCTTGCCATTTGTAAAACTTTCAAGTTTCTGCCCCGGTTCGAAAAAATCGTAAATCCGGGGCTGGAAAATACAAACCTCTAGGGTTAGAAAATTAAGGAATAGAGAATACATTTTATTATGATTTTGGGCGCATGATGAAGTCAGTGACACTTCTTTTTTTTAAACTAATTCTAATATTAATATTTAATATTACCCATCATCAAATTGTATTCTTTAACAGACATCCCTTAACTTTTTCACTATACTCATTATTCAAAATTTTAAAAATATTTTTTTATTACTTAAAGATACTGATACTGAAATAAAGCTGAGCGTAGTATATCCGTGATAGAAGTGAATGGTAAAATACGCATCTCTCTTGCAAATTTTCTCCCTCTTATGCAACTTATCTAAAGAAACGTGACGTATCCCTTAAATTTCCCAGCGAGTTCTTGTACAATATAGGAGACCTTAGAGATTTGGCTTTCACTATTTATTGCATTAATAAAAACGACCAATTTAACCCCAATGGAATTATTCACCAAGTGAAATATCAATTGTTAGGCATAAATCGCTATTTGATAACTTACATTCCTTGTCATAATAAATACACATTATTTTATAAAATATTTTATTATTAAAACAAATAGTTCGAGCAAAAACTTTCAAAACAAACACTTAACGCTATACATTGGACTTGAAACGTGTCCTTTATATACATCTTACACTTATACACGTGTTCGGTTTAGGCCATAAGTAAAAAAATATACATTTGACAGGCTGGTTGGCCAGATACACTGTCAACTGAACATTGTTTTCCAATTTAAAAACTGAACCCATTTCCCGCCAATTTTTTTCTAATTATGTCAAAATTCTATGAATATTTAAAATTAGAACACCGCACAAACCCGTGCTTCTAAAGCATGGGTGATTTTTTAAACACATTCATGAACATACTTTAAAATATAATCTAACGGACGAAATTAATAATAAATAAATTCTAAGACATAGAAATTAACGAGTACATGTTTGTAATCATGTTTCAGTTTCATCTTTAATATCAGATTTCATTGCTTATTAATTCCCAACGTTCTTCGTTACACATAAAGAAAAATCTTTGTCATGATTATATAAATAAACTTGAGACAAGTTAAAACTTAATACAACCATTTAAAATTCAACTATTCAGTCAAATTTGTTCATGACACTTGAAACCCTTTCGCCATTTTCAAAATAAGAATTATTTACGTTACGTTACCTGCAGAGTACATTTTTAAAACTGGAAAATTGTTGTTAGGATTTTTTTTTAAATCTAACAGTGTTACATCATCATATCTGTATGTAAGAGATAAGTAAGATATTTATTTACACATATATAACAGCAAAAGTGATTTAAGAAATATATTAAGCCAGGAACAGATATAATTTTAACCAGTTTTTTTTGTTCTCCCATCTTTTCGCCCGAGACGTGGCACCGGGACGTACGTTCTTTCCGCAGCTTGCATATAGATGTCGCTAGTTGTATCATGACAATTTACTCTTAGGAATAATAGATGGCGCTATAACTGTTTTAATTCCAGTTAAAATTACTTTGTCCCCGAGAATTAAAAACTCTGAATTTATTACATACTTTATACATGTATCTAAAATATACATTGAACTACTTTTTATAACAAGTACTTAGTAAAGGTTGGTGGAAATTGTTTGTGATCCATTGCATTTTACTCTATATCTTTACTAAAATTCTGTTTGTCAAAACGGCAATGGACAACAAACACATGTACTATTAATTGTCAAGTTAAAAAATATATTATTTACATTTTTGTTTCGGGTTATAGCATGCTGTCTTTTAATATTATAACCAATTTATTATTATAAAATGTACATGGTTTATACGAAAATATGATTTTGCATACTTACAAAGTTTGCTTAATATAATTATATCTCTGTAACTTTCCTGGTTATTACATTCTAAATATATTTATAAGAGAAAAGGCTGCCTTAGAAGGAAATTAAATTATGGTAGTGTATGAAATTTCCAAATTCTTCATAGAAAATAACATGAAAGAGTGTTTTTTTTTTTATGTTAGAACTTTCTTCAAGATTTATGGCTTTATTCACGTGCGTATCTCGGAGTCCTTGAATAGTTTCAGACCCGATTGGGCTATTTATTGACAGTGACAATAGAAAAGAATGACGTCAACAAACCGTTATTTTATACATTTCCAAAGGATTGTTTGGAAAAAAAGTAAGATTGAGCTAGTGTGGAAGTTAATTAAATTGTAATTAAGTTGTTTAATGTTTTTATAAAGTACCTACAACAGTTCATGAATAAATAACATTTTTGTATTTCATATACTTGTTTTTAAATCCATTTATAGTTATAATGATTAATGGAAACGTGTAACAAAAATATTTTAATTATTAATAATTATTTACAACTGTCTCAACTCTTGGGGCTTTAATTTATAGTTGAAAATAAATTACTAAGCAGTCATTGCAGACAAGTATAAATACCAGAATATATTTTAATGCACAAAAGTGAAGTTACGCCGTGACGTCACAAGTCATGTAGTGAGTTAAATCGAAAGCTTAGATACACTCTTTCCGAAACTTTAGTGAAGTTCGGTCCCAAAAAAATGAAATCGCTGATTCACTCACAATCAAATAAACCAATAATAAATATTTTTGCATTGGCAGCACTAGGACTCAGTGGAATAAGCCTATTGTTAAGCTTCGGATAAATAGATTGTCTATAGAAGTACAGGCAAGGAACTCCAACTCTTTGCCCAAATTGAGGATGGAACATTTGGTCTTACTCTATTTCTTATTATTTAATTGGTATTTAATTAATAAAAAATAGTGATTAAGAGCAGTGTGGTTGAGGTTTGAAATCTATGCAATAAACCCTCTACCAGGGAACCGTACTGAAGATCGCTCAGTCGCTAATTTATCACATTCGTAATTTCTACAGACCGTACTATTTTGAAGTTTTTATAAATAGAACAGATATTGAACTGAATGTCAACTACAAACCTATTTTCATATAAGTCGTGTACAAGTCACATTGATATTGGCAGTGCGTGCAGTAAGTGAGACGTGGTGTTGGGTGGAGCGGCGCCTAGTCGGCTTTCCTCAGCGCGCCCCTCGCGCGCCACGCCTTCAGCAGGTTGTAGGAGAAGTAGAGCTGGAAGAAGTGGATCTGGGACGCCAGGAGCACGAACGCGTACCACAGCAGGCCGTACGGATAACCCTGCAAGTTTTACAAATAAAAACACTTTAGACTAAAGGGCCCTTGCACTAGACATAGATGCATTTTTTTTTTCATTCACTTTTTCCCTTGTGAATAACAATATCTTGACAGAACTGAGCCTGTGAACTGAGTCATGGAATGGGCAAACGAGCAGACGGGTCACCTGATGAAAAGCGACTTCCGCCGCTCATGAACGCCTGCAACTCAGGAGTCACAAGCGCGTTGCCAGCCTTTGAGGAAGGAGTACGCTCTTTTCTTGAAGGTCGTATCGGTCCGGAAATAACGCAGCCGATAACTTGTTGCACAGATTGGTAGTGCGAGGCAAAAAGTGTCTTGAAAAGCGCACAGTGATGGAGCGCCAATTATCCAAGCACGCAAGGTACGCATTATACAATACCATAGTCAAAGAAAACTGGACTTAGGCAATTCTTTAACATTTGCATTTCACCGAATGAGGATGATTACTAGTTGTAGTAGTAGTTGCCATATGAACATCTGTGGTAATTGTTACGGTTAGTCGGGAGCTCTAAAACATCCGACAACCGTCTTTCTACAGAACTTCTATGCCACATAGTAAGTACCTTAGATTGTGAAGATCTAATGGCAGTAGCTCCACGTAAAAAATCCAAGTTCATTGGTATCATAGTAAATTAAAAGCTTGACCTGAGCTATGCCATATTTTTTCTAAATATCATGAACTATACCAACCTGCCACAACTCAATCTCCACTTCGGAGCTGTCATCCTCATCAACATCACTAGAGAGGTACCGCCACACATCACCACAATAATACAGTACGCAGTACAGCAGTGGTCCGTAGCCCAGGGCTGTCACTCCGTACATGTACCGCCTCAGTTGTTTGATATTGTTCCGTTTGATTGCTGATAGGCCCAAGAAGGAGAGTAGTAAAGATAAACACCAAATGTATTCCCACCAAAGAGGCTGGAAATATTAAAAAGAAAAATATGACATTTAAATTACAAAATCTGACTGCACTTGTCAGTACTTTTACCGTTTGATCTATTGATATCATAAAACACTATTTTTTTATCTTGTTTCAAAGCTTAAAGCGTTTTTGTAGGTCTTATGGGCAACTTTATCTAGCTTAGGTTAATTCGCCCACAAAACCTACAAAAATGCTTAAAGCTTTCCGCAGGGACAATAATTACCTGTGGTATCTGCAACTCTTCAATCTCAAGTATAAAAATGTCAAGTTTGTCTAGGATGTCAGCGGAGAGTTTGGCCAACATCGCCAAGAACATCATGTGATGGAAAAACACGCAGTACTTCAACCGGGACTTGTTTAGAGCACTGGAACCAAATAGATTTATCAAAGTCCTTGTTCTTTTACATTTAAAAAAAGACCTGCTTAAATGGTCACTATATGTCTTCATCAACTAATAATCCAATTTAATAAAAATATTAATGAAAAAAGCTGTAATAAACATTACAAATATCTTAACACAAGTTGTGTTTAATTACTGAGCATGGGTTTATTAAGTCACTAATGTATTAAAAGAAACATATGTGGTTCAGTATTCCAATTTTTTAAATGATTCATTGAGGAAGCAAGGGCTATAAAACTTTATGATGTTTGTAATCTGTGCCAATGCCAAGTACAAATTAAAAAAAAGTAAGCATATATAGTATGTACATATAGTTTTACATTAACTACAATGTTTCTACTTCAATGTTAAAATTTTGGAATCCAAAGTTTTGATGGTAAATCTGGTGATATCTATAGTTTTTAAACATTTGAGAAATATAGAGAAGATTAGAGAGAGATTTTAGATTATAGGTGTTTACAAAAGTGAATAACCACAACAGTCATTTGATTTTTCATATTATACACTAAACATATGCTCCCTACAAGAGATTTCTTTTGAATCATAGAATAATAACATTATTACAATTATTCTTTGTGGTCAGAATATTTACTTAAAGTTCGCCATTATAAGATCATTTTAAATGATGTGTCGTCTAATATCATCAGTGTGAACACTTTTTTAAATAATTGGCGCGAAACATAATTCGCTATCGACTGCTTTTGTCTAAAAATAATTTGACGGAACTTGGTCGAAAGAAATATAACAACTGCACATCAAATACACATTCGACACTTGATTAAAATCATAGGTACGGCCTTAAATATTTGTGAATAAGCCAAATTACGTACCTGATCTGATATTGTGCAGCTATTTTCTCTCTATGCTCGAAATCGGCACCGTTGGTACCAGTCACCATAACACCACCACGAGAAGCCATTTTTCTAACTAAATTATATTATAAACAAATAAAATAAATTCTTATTATCGTTCTCAAATCACTCAAATGACATCATTCAGATAATCCTGGCAAAGATTTTTCTTTTCGATCAATTCATTTTTCCCATCTGCCAAACGAGAGCCAACGAAATGCCAAAAATGCCAACGTTTCAAGGTTTCGTCACGTTCCTTATAACGCAATCGTTTACAAATAAAATACATTTTGTATTCTCTAAATTTTATATTATTTATATAAGTTTAAATTCAATTTTGTCCTTGTTTTCTTTGAAAATACGCATTCGTAAATAATATACAAAAATGAAGTAAGTTCCTAAATTTCCGTGGCAAACGCAAATGTTATTGCAACGAAACGTGAACTTGACATTAGTAGCGTTTCGTTCGGATATCAACATAATATAACAAACGAACCTTTTTGGCAATCAGCGTACAAGCAATATCGTTCATTATTTTAGATCAGGGGTTCCTAAACTATTTTGCGCAAGAGACCCCTTTTCTAAAATGAATTGATACCTCAGACCATGGCCAAATTACTTCAAAAATGTAACTGTTAAATGTAATGTTATAGAGGGATTTATCTGGTATACCCCTCGCACCCACTTCCACGGCTTACAACGCAACGAAATAACCATTTTTCGTTATTTCGTTAGTTAAGTCAAAGTACTTGCTTCTTTCTAAAGCGTGGTCTTTTGGGATATTTGTTTCCCTCGGCACCGTGAGTTATATTAGTGCTACACGCTTAATTGACATTGCATAAAGAAATATGTCTGAAATAGACGCCGAGGCATAGATATCCTCCGGTATTCTGTAATGATTTTTTACGTGTCCACTAATAATGTCCAGCCACTGGCGGTATTTATAATTGACTACGACTTTCTGCATTTCTGGAGGAGTTCTTAAGTGGTTCTGTTTTATGTCGTATACCAGAAGCGGCCAGTTGAGACTTGATGTTAAAATAGTTGTTGTAAATCCAAACTTTTTTTAAGTTACTTATTGGCTGTCGGTCTACCTTGTCAATGTCTTTTACGAAGTCATCGACTATTGTGTTCATAGATGGAGTACGACCTTCGCAGCCTTTCTTTCTTATAAGGAATTTAAAGGACACTTGTTCTGATGTTGTTAGATATTATTATCATTCAAGCTTCAACGAATTTCAAAATGAAAATGAATGAATGTTATATAGTAAAATATCAGGAGCATATTTGGACTGGAACTTGATCATAATTTTGTTCGTGTTATATCACGTATATGCTTCAAATACAGAGCTAGTCAAAACGTGCCTGAAAGACTTGTACACTCGAACTCAACTTGTGCACGCTTATTGACTTGTCCAGTTTTTCATCTTGTACGACACTCTGCACACTTTTTGCCTTGTTGAGTTGTACAATTGTTGTTGAGAGTACAATGATACTTCCTACTATAATATTAGTCATTTTTATAACAACTTATACAATATCTTGAAAGTTTCAATTAAGAACTTGTGTTAATTAATAGAGTTCGATTTTTAGACCTCGTTGACCACCAAAATCAGTTTTCGTTTATGACGACCCCTGGGAACCCGATTTCAACCTCCAGGGGTCAATATCGACCACTTTAGGAATGAATGCTTTGCTGCTTACCCGATGTTTTTATTGAATTGTACGGATATGATATTGTAACTTCCCTCATTCTTCCCTAATTTGACACGAGGACTCAAAGATTGGCAACGTACTTGAGTTGCTCACAGAAAACCGGAATTAAGCAATTCCTTTCAAAGCTTTTTATCGAGTGAGTTAAGTTGCAGGCGCCCCAGTCCCCCTTTTTTTTTTTTTTTTTTTAACGTGTGGAAATCCCCTCGGACCGTCACCCCTCCAGGGTTTGCGGCGGGGTGGTGTGTCGGACTCGGACCGACTAAAACCACACGGTGTGCCACTCTGCGCCTGTAACAGGAGGGATCCGGGAACAGCTGTTGTTAAGACATCCGGACCCCTCCTAGCGCCAGCCCGCTCCTGGTGCGGGCTCCGTCTCAATATTTTTTCCTCTCTTTAGGCGACGTCCGGCACACGCGGACGCCGCCCCCTCGCGGCTGGCCAACTAATGCGGGTGGAGGGGAAACCCACCCCGTCCACCCGCGGCCACACTCAGGGCGGCATGAGGCTGTGATAGGCGGGCCTCCGCCGCCCGGTTCGCCAGCGGCGGATCGGGTCCGAGTGGAGGTCGTCCTCCCGGGCCCTCTCCGCTGCCTCCTTCCGCGAGATTACTACCTCGCAGAAGGTTGCGACCGCGGTAAAACAACTGTCGCTACCGGCCATGGAGCGTACTACGGCCGGTAGCGAGAGATCCACTCCGATGACTGCAGTGAGGGCCCGGCGCTGCGCCGCCCAAGCGGGGCAGACCGCCAGCGTGTGCTGGGCCGAGTCCTCACTGCAGTCGCAATGGTGGCAGGCGGGACTCAGTTCCCTCCTAGCGACCGTGTGCAGGTACTTTCCGAAGCAACCGTGCCCGGAAAGCACCTGCGTCAGCCGGAAGGAAAGGGTCCCGTGCTGCCGCCCTGCCCACTCGGCGATGACCGGCTGGAGAGCCTCCACGGCGGCGAAGCCAGCGCGTGGAGTCTCCAGCCGGAACGACCAACGAGCCATCGTGGCTCGGCGAGCGGCTTCGCGCCACTCGCGCACATCCTCGGGCGGAGGGCGAAATCCGCTCTCCGCCCGGGAGTCAGCCACTCGCCGATAAACTTCGGCGAGCACTTCCGCCTCCAAATCCCACGGGGGAGTTCCGGCCAACGCGCATGCCACCTCCGTAGAAACGGTGCGGTAACCGCGTATGGCTCTGACCGCCATTACCCTCTGAGGGCGCCAGAGGCGTACCCTATTCTGGGCGGTCAGAGCCGCCGCCCACACCGGTGCACCGTACAGTGCCATTGACCGGACAACCCCCGTGTACAGCCGTCTTGTCGCGACGCTGGGTCCACCCATATTGGGCAAGAGTCGCCCTAGGGCAGACGCAGCGCCGACCAGCTTTGGAGCAAGCTGTCGGAAGTGCTCGTCGAAGAGCCACCTCCCGTCGAGGATCAGGCCCAGATATTTCATCTGGGCCCGAACCGGTACGAGGACCGAGTTGACCACGATTGAGGCGCCAGGGGGTGGACCACGACGGGGCCCATGCAATAACAGGGCCTCCGTCTTATCTAGGGCCACCCGTAAGCCCAGCGCCTCAATGCGCCCGACCACCAGGGAGACTCCCCCTGTGGCCAGGCGCGCCGCCTCTTGGAAGTTTGCCCCCCGGGCTGTCACCAGGGTATCGTCTGCGTAACAGATTACACCCAGCCCGGGGGGGAAATCGGCGCGAAGGGCCCAGTCGTACCCTATGTTCCACAAGAGGGGTCCAAGAACAGACCCCTGTGGAACACCGCACGACATGGGCCGACTCTTCAAATTACCTTCTCGGTCCTCGTACACGACGGTACGCTCCTCTAAATAGTCTGCCACCAGCCGCCTCAGGTACTTTGGCACCCCATGATAGTGGAGTGCTTCCCTGATGCAGCTGAATGGCAGACTATTGAATGCGTTGGCGATGTCTAATGACACCGCCAACAGCACGCCGCCACAGCTCACGGCCTCTTCGGCCCCAGTCCCCCTACCCTCACCCCATTCTGCAGTGAGGGCACTCAAAGGGCGGTAATGCAGTTGTCTCTTTAGCTGTATGCGACAATCGATAGTTGTAGTCACTTACTATCCGGTGACCCACTTGCTGATCAACTTCCTATAAGTATAATAAAAAAATGGTCATAGGTCATAGGGACGATCCTATCAACCGGACACTTTGGGGATTTGCTGCAAAAAAAGATATGAAGACAATGTTAAAAGGGTGATATCACTCATACGGATGAATTGGGGAATGTAAGCAATAGCTTGAACAGGATAGCCTGACTACTGGAAGTGGCTAATTCACTGTTCTGTGTTCTTACCGAATTTATTTGATTTGTTATGCAGGAGTTTTATTCTATTGAGGTGACATTTGATGCGAAATTCTTCGGAGGCGTTCTGAGACTATTAACGACTACGGGACAACACTTTGTGTGATCCACAAATTGTCGTTCAGCGTCTGGGTGTTCTTTTTGTCCGTTTTATGTGTGTTTGTAATATCCCCCGCGACACAAGATATATTTCTAAAGCTATAGTGTCTTTAAAAGAAGAAAAAACAGTGGCACGCCGGGAGTGGCGACAGAAGTAAAAGCTTGTATTTTTTTTTATTTAATCAGGAAAAAAATTGTTTTCTCGATTCGAAAAGTTCCGACATAAATATATATTTATGTTGTACGTATATACACAATATATGTTTATATTATATATATAGTTTTATCAATGTATTGTATTATTGTACCCAAACTCAACTCTCGTGTAAAGGGGGCCAATATATGTAGATACTTATATACAGAGGTGTCGGTAACAATAACAGTGTCGCGAGTTCATTGGTTTTTTCCCATCTCAAAAATTACAATGGTTTTTGTTGTTAAAAAAATCCCAACGCGTCTAATGAAGTTTTCACTTCAAAAATTATATAAGTATATGTATTTCGGGGATGCCAGGAAGGTATCCACTACTAAGGCACTAACTAAGGCACTAACTAAGGCAATACTACTAGGCATTGTTTGTTTGTCATTGTCGTGTTTCTGAGGATTTTACCATACAGTCGATCAGAAAGAATCAATTTCCGCGTAATTACGATTTCTCAACAAACCTTTATGTACCTTTATGGAAATGTTTGCTTATTCTTGGTTATATGGTAGCTATGTGGTCAAATTACCGCAGTACCTACTAACAGCCAGTCAAAGGAAAGGATAACTCGAACCCAAAATATCTTTATTTCATGAAAATTTTAAAATTGTTTGATATCGTCTTTTATGTAGACGCTAAAGTTTTAGATCAACACACACACACAATAGCAACAATCTCTGTTTTGACAAATACTTAGCAAAATAAATTAAAAAAATATATACTAATACAAAATCTTCGAGTGTCCGTTCTGTAATAAAATGCCCAAGCATATATATATATATTGTATTTCTACCTAAATGAAGATCCATTCTATGACAACTTAATAAGAGTATGAGCTGAGAGAGCCCTGGTATACCCATAACACAAGTCGATCTTACCATGGGTACCAGAGGATGCACTTTGCACACCAGAGCATTGACACTACCATAATGTTTTTCTATTTGTACACATTTTTATGTCCATATAAGAGTGTTATTTGCACAACCTTTATTTGAAATAAAATTTATTATTATTATTCCCGTTAAATATACTGTCTCGGTGGTGCAGTGGTACCGTATGCGACTGCTGCGCTGAGATCTAGGGTTCGACCGGGTCGGAAGAAATGTTTGTATAATCTGCAAATATTTGTTTCGGAGTTTGGGTGTTTTTCTATGTATAATATGTATATATTTACAAAAAAGTACATAAGTATTCCATCAGTCAATCTAGCTTTCATAGTACAAGGTCTGCTTAGTTTGAATGCATAATATTTGCATGCATGCATGTCCGAAAATTTTGAAATTGTTTGATATCGTCTTTTATGTAGACGCTATATACAAAATCTTCGAGTGTCCGTTCTGTAAATCATTGGGAGAGGCCTATGTCCAGCAGTGGACAAGCATAGACTGAGGTTATGATGATGATGATGTCCGAAATATTATATTATTATATTCATACGCGTTTAACAAATTATGTTGTTGAATCACTTGAGAACGAAATCGGATCATGGATTATTATCTTTAAAAAAGAAGTAACTGATCGACAATCCACGAAACATGGGGCATTATTTAATCACAGGGAATTAGCATTGTCACTTAACATGGCAATGGGAACTTAAACAGTAGGCAACAATGCGGAGGCATTTTTAAGACATGCACGCATGCAAATAGTTAATTGAATAACAGTTATATTTTTGCAAAATAAGAAACAAAAGGATTGATTTATCATTAACTGCAAAACCAGTTCATTATTAATTAATCAAAAAAAATGATTAGCCATGAAATTGATTAATTATACATTACACGTGTTTGCAATAGAATTTGCCGCATCTTAATCACTTTGCTAGCCATTGAAAATCTTAGTTTACTTTTATGGACAGGGTAACCATTCTTTTTGATTTACATAGATAAAATTAGAAAGATTTGCAGTATAGTTTCGTTTGTTATGTCTAAAACACGGTACAAACTGACAATCAAAACAATGAAATAAGTGTGCGAAAACTGTATGCAAATAGTGAAAAACAGAAATGGAGAGACTTAGTTGCGCTGTACAGTGTACCGCACGTGAAAATGCTCCCCATTTTATACTATGTTTTAACAAGGAAAAATCATGTGTAGGTAAGCTTTTAATTTATGATATGATTTAGTTAACATTTAGACGTCAGTATTGGATTCGATACTGGGTACAACGTGAGAGTGCAAGTGTGACTCGAATCGTTCACCAAGGTCTCCATAAAAACTTGCATTATCTAGTATGATTATTGATTGACATTCGATTCTCCACAATTATTGGCAGTTTCCGTAAGAGCCCTTTCCAACCGCAACATACATATACGTTTGTAAAAACATTTTTTTTTCTATTTATCAAGACTAGAAATCGACAACTTTTACATTTTTTATTTCTGCTACGAGGCTGCTTTTAAGGATTTTTTTTAAGAACTCTGGTTTAATAGGGAATAATAGGTAGACTACAAGGTTTAATTAGGTACTTGCCTATTCAAATTACGCTTATTCAAATTTGTGTGTAATAAGCTGAAATTTAATTATTTAATATAGTTTTTTGCACCAGCCTTCTACAACGTACTACAATTAATATTGTTAGTATTCAATACTAATCATAAATGTAGTATGTATGTGTGTGTAAATCACATCATCATCAACAGCCTTTAATAGTCCACTGCTGGACGTAAGCCTCTCCTTAGAAAGGAGGTTTTGGCCTACTATACCACGCTGGCCAGACGGGTTGGTATAGGGTTTGTGTCTAGTTTTCCTTCTTTTTGCAGTGCTGGTGTCCTGCGTTGTTTTGCGCCCTTAGTCGGCTCTTACGACACCCACGGTATGAATTGGGGCAGTGACATTCCGTATTCTTAATCCGTCACTACACGGACATGTGTGTGTGTAAATACTCCTCTATAATATGTCTAACTTCTATTCATATTGACGAGCCTGTTAATAGTGGTTAGTGATCCTGACTGCTAAGCCGGAGGACGTGGGTTCGATTCCCACTCAGGACAAATATTGGGTGATTAGCACGATCATTTGTTCTGCATCTGGGTGTAATTTATCTATAATATGTATGTAAATGGAAATATAAAAGTAAATTTATCAGCAGGCTGGTTACCTTAGTACAGACTCTGTCTAGTTTGGGACTGCTGTGTTTGAGAAGTTATTATTAATATTATAAAACATGATTTAGCTAAAATTAAAAACACAAAACATCTAATATTCTTCTATAAAATTATTCTTAGTAAATTTGAACTGCGGGTTCCAATGCTCTATCCACGTCCAACAATCACTTTTTTTGCCCTCATCTATGAAGAACTATCTCAGAATCAAATTTTCCAATTCTTTGTCTATTGAGACTTCCTAATCAAATGGTTCGCTGGACATATTAACTAACTCTTTGTCTGTGTTGAAAAAAGGAGATTAAATATTTAAGTCTGTTTATCAGCAGTCTGGTTACCATTTTTTGTTACGTGTGGAAACCCATTCGGGCCGTCACCCCACCAGGATTTACGGCGGGGTGGTGTGTCGGAATCGGATCGACTAAAACCACTCTGCCACGGTGTGCCACTCTGCGCCTGTAATAGGAGGGATCCTGTTATTAAGACACCCGGGCCCAGCAGTCTGGTTACCATAGTACAGGCTCTGCCTAGTTTGGGATCAGACGGCCGTACGTGTGATGTTTGGAAATTTTATTGTAACCAAACCATAAATAAATAAACCAACGCCTTCTCATAACATTAACACAGTAACTGTGTCCATTCTGCTACGTAGCTCTTACGCAGTTGTAGACTTGGAAAACAAATTTCTAAAATGTGAAAAAAATATTTAAATAAAATCATGTCAGAAAACATGGCGAACCTATCAGCTGACGTCATTGACGTAGAAAAATTACACATGTACGCGCGGCAAATTGAAACAAGTTCATACTTCGATAACAATTTTAATTGTTCGACGGGCTTTGTTTTATAAACACAGCTCATTATTGTAAGAATCATAATAGCTATTTTGGTTACGAACCAATCAGGGGCTCGCTGCAACTGTTATAAATTAGACTGAACACCTCTTGAGGTTTTATTGTCGATAAGTTAGACACTTGTGAATATGAAGGTACTCGTGGCAGTCGCTCTTTTCGCCTTCGTGGCTGTACAGGTAGGAATTATTTATTTTAATATAAAAGTGAACGTGTTAAATAAAATAAAAAAAAAATTATTTGGATAAGTACTTTTCGGACGTTCGGTTACATGCGTCAAAAACCTGACTTAATTTTAAATACATTAAAAAAATATTGTGTTTTGGAAATGGGGATCAAAAAATTGGAGTTTTTAGCTTACGAAAATATCGAGAATAGCAGTGTGTAACTAGTGAATTATATTATAGAATAAGTTGGCGACTTTATTCATTTTATTTGGATTTATATCGTTGTAAAACTTGACGGTAATTAATGTCTGCAAATATTCTGAGAAAATAACTTATGGCACTAAGCAGGAACCGTTTTAGTAAAATCTGGTGGTAGTGATTTTTTAATATTTTTTTTAGCAACGCGAAAAACTTAAAATAATGTAAAATAACTAGAACATCTGGTAGCCTTGTATTAATTAATAATTTATAATACAAGACGGTACGGTACGGTAAGTATGGAACACGTATAGAAACTACAGAAGATACCTATAATTTCTAATTTTAAAATTCTAAACCCCTAAACAACATTTATTAAAAAAATTGGACGTTAATGGAAAATTCCTATGTTAACCTTTCTTTTAGGGCGAAAATTTTCGATAACGTCATTGTAAAATAGTCTAAGAAAACGAGGTTTTTAGAATTGTTAATATTATTGCTATAAATATAAATAATTAGTAATTTAAAAACCAATAACTATTAAATACTTAGTATATTTTATAGTACGCACTACGCAGTGTAAATTAAGATTAGGGTTCATTACTGGCCTTAGTAACAGGGCCCGTTACTTGGCTCCATTATGCATATTATTCATTTAATGGAAATGACAAAATACATTTCTATAACAAAATCTCAAACAGTTTTTCCGGACCCGATCCGTCATCGCAGTTATTCCTTAAAGGCCTGGAGTAGCAGGAGTTTATGGACGGCGGTAGTCGCTTTCTATCAGGTGACCTGTCAGCTCGATTGCCTCCTGTATCATTGAAAAATATAAATTTAAAAAATGCAGGCTTCTTTTTAAAGAAAACGATAAATCTATAATTTGATTTTATAAAAATTCTAGTTGTTTTTTTTTCTGTGTGTGCTGTGGGCAGTGGAATAAATTTATGTTACTTTTTTCTAGTTAAGCCATGCCGCTCCCGCTCCTGAGGAGGAGAAGAAAGCGGAGCCGGCAGCCGTCAAGGAAGCCGAACCAGCTGCTGCTGCACCAGCAGCTCCTGTCGCAGAAGTCAGTTCCTATAAAAATATTAACTTTTTATTCTTGACTAGTTTTGCGACATTCACGCAAAACTAGTTTGATTTTTTTTATGTGTAGAAATTATCACTAAACTACCCAGGGTAACAGCCAGTCGTTCACGAACAGACTAAAATCATACAGAGTACCGTCACCATGGAATGGAAGTTTATGTGATAGCTTTACAGGGTTCCTTTTAGACATATGTCTAATTTACATGGAAATCAAGATGGAGCTGATGAGAAGATGGAGATTATTACTGATGAGTGACATAAAAGTTCACCTGTATTTTATAATCTTTAATGAACTGTCATCAACACCCTTTAACAATCCACTCCTGGACACAGGCCTCTCCTTAGAAAGGAGGTTTTGGCCTACTGTACTGTATTCTATATTAATTAATTTTCATCCTTAGGGGTGGAATTTTTCTTCACATTTGAATGGGTTCAATCAGGAACTACAGTTTCAAACAAAAAAAAGGCCAAATTGAGGAAACCGTTGAATGCGGGCAGCACAGGACCGGTTGTTGTGGTGAAGTTTGGGAAGATCTATGTCCAGCAGTGTACGTCTTTCGGCTGTAATGATGATGATGATGAGATGCTTCTCTTTTTTTGAAGTCGGTTTAAATGCTTTGTGATCAACCACAACCATTCCTCATCTGCTGTGATAAATTATTATGAAACAAGTGCCCCTGTCGTCGCAACTTTCACATATTTTGTGTCTTATTGCAGGTAAAATCAGCGGTTCCTGCTGCTGATGCAGCGGCGCCGGCAGCAGCAGCGGTTACGGTGGAAAGCACCAAACCAGCCGAAGAGAAGAAAGCTTAGTTTATACTATAGTACTTAAAGCGAGCACGGAGGCGACTAAATTTTAACAAACTCAAGTCTGTCTGGCGCTATAATGTATGATGTTTATAAAAAAAAATCGTCGGAATAAAGCGTATTTATTATTCCAAACGAACAAAAATTGTGTTTTTTTTAAATATTTAAGCAATGTATAAAGCCAAGGAATCCTTCCCAAAAGCCAGATTTAGAGTTGGCTATGGGTTACCAGATAAAAAAAAACCAAACATGTTTAGTCAATGACCAAGTCATAGTAGCTGTCCAACGGACAGACGGACATACGTGAACATGACCGTCCTCTTCGAGGTACCTACTGCAATCTCAGTCCTGTTTCCCCATCAGAGTCTTAATGAGAGAGCTAGGTTCAGGAATACTGAACCTAGCTCTCTCACTCCGTCCGTTCCCTTACTTGAATTTAGCATCTTCCTTCACATTCAAAACAATTACATTCCCAAATACGATTGTCGTCATGCAGACAACCTTCCATGAAAAAAAATCCTGAAAATCATTTTTGCAACCTTACATTTTGCGAAGAGCCTGTATAAAGTTGACAAAAGGACAAGAAATAATATGATGATTAACTAAATTCAACACTCCATTGATTTAACACATTGTACATTATACTATACTAGCTGACCCGCACAACTTCGTCTGCGTCTCTCAATAGTAACAAATTTTCTCCGTTTTCAAAACATTCTTCATTGGTGCTCCGCTCCTATTGGTCTTAGCGTGATGATATATAGCCTATAGCCTTCCTCGATAAATGGGCTATCTAACACTGAAAGAATTCAAATCGGACCAGTAGTTCCAGAGATTAGCGCGTTCAAACAAACAAACAAACTCTTCAGCTTTATAATATTAGTATAGATGAGTGCAATGAATTAGTATTGTTCATTAACACGCTTTGTTTAAAAAGAAGAGTTAAGTCAGCAAAAGCTGGTTAAGCAACAGGACATTTGCGGTTATAATATATTTACACTATTGAATGCTACACTGCTAGTGTAAGTTTGTTTTTCTACTGCTCAGTAAAACGGCAAGAGATCGATGAAAATGAGTAGATACAGTGTGTGAGATACTGAATTTAATTTTTGTAGAGCCCAAAACCAACCATGGTAATGCCACCTTCAATGAATACGCTACTAAAGGCTTAGCAAAATTCAATGAGTTTAAATGTATGAAGAAAGAAGTTACAATAATAGTAGACAGTTTATAAATGTATCAAAAATATTCTAAATTATTTAGGAAACTTTACAAATAAGTTTATTTTTGTTTACTGATTTAAGGAAAAAGTTGGATTTGATTAAATTCAAAGGGAACTGATTAATCACGAGACTCGAACATAAGACTACCTACTGCAATTTGAATTTAGCTTGAATATTAATAATAAACCACCACTAACATTGGAGAAGGAAATAGAGATTGCTTTTTCGAAATTTTCAATAATATTCCTGTGTCCACTACTAAATCTTTTAACTGATCAGCTTTCTTTAGAATCAGGTGTTAAGCAATCAAAAGGCTACGCACTTGTGTCTCCTGAGTTGCTGATGTCCAGGAGTGGCAGAAGATACTTACAATCAAGTCAACAGTCTTCTCGTTTGCCACTTATTCCATAAAAAAAATCGTTGATACTTAAGAGATGCCATCGTCCTTAGTATTTTTTGTGACTTATCCAATGCTTTTGATAATGTTCGCAATGAAACTCTGATTATTAACTTATATCACTGGGGTATCAAACACACAGTGATGAATCTTTTTACTTCTCGTCTGGATAACAGAATTCAAAAAGTCGATATTAAAGGCACGTATCTCCAGGGTCTGTGGTAAGAATGGGAGTTCTACAGGGTATCATACTTGGGCCATTTTTTTCTTAATCTAGATTTGTGATTTACCTAACCTTGGTAAAAATAACCTTGTGATAATTTTTGTTTACGGATGAATCTTCCTGTTACTTAAGACTAAAATTATGACAACTCAATGATATATTTTCAACAAAACTTCTATGATAAATCACTCTCTCTCTCTCTCTCTCTCTCCCTGTGTATTTTAATTAAAATATAAATTTTATCCTGAGTTATAAAAGAGCATGCTAACAAGTCCTTGCTATTTTGTTACATTTTCGTGCCCGTTAGTATTATGCATTAGTGGTATATTTATATCAATTGTTTCATCAACATATTTCATTTTAACATTAGGTAATTTTGTTCAAGGCTTCCTTCCCTCATACAGATTTAACTCAATGCGTAACGTAACACGAGTCATCATCATTCATTAATTTATTACACAAAACAATGCATAATAATTTAACAATTTATGACGTTTTCAACCAAAGGTTACAATCCTGCAAAGTAAATCATACTACTAAGGACTCTATATATTGCTAAATAAGATTTCTATAGTTCAGATAATTCCACATTATTAAGAGTCAGTAATTTTTTTATTCGAGCAGCTCCTGTAGTTGAGCAGAATAATAATAATATTTTTTCGGATATCTGAAACACAACGCCAACTAGTTTCAGTTGAAAGCTAGATTGATTGATTAAATACGTAAATTGTTTTCTTTGTAAATACATAGGTACATATTATACACACCCAAACTCCTAAACAAATTAAACATATTTGGTCCGACCCGGGAATCGAACCCGAGACAGCAGTCGCATACGCTACGACTGCACATCCGAGGCATATATGTTAGTAAAGTATAATGATCTCAATTCTTATGTAATTGTTACTAACAAGCAAGATTAAGTAGGATCAATATACATACCTTTAAATTGCCTAACTTTCGACCAGGTTACACTGGCTGTTGTTAGACCGCCTGTGACCAGGGCCGTGATTAAAAACATGATCAGTGTAAACTGACCTGATATGATAATGTTCAGGGCAGTGATTGAGGGATCCAAATAACACACAAATGGAATTGTAAAAGATAGTATATTCCGGTACAGTTAGTTAGTAGTGAAGAACAGGATGTCTCTGACGCTCCCGCCCGAGGGCAGGTCGAGCGGCGCCAGCGCCACCGCACCGGCGCTGCTCACGCGGTAACGCGACGTGCTCTCCGTACCCTGGATGTACAGGGTCACCTGACACATCAATATACGCTTTGAAACATGTTAGGGAATGTGTTTCTAGAGTTATATATTTGTGCTAATAAGCTGCTATAGCTGCATCCACATTTCACATCACATCAACAGCCTTTAATAGTCCACTGCTGAACATAGGCCTCTCCTTAGAGAGGAGGTTTTGGCCTACTATACCAAGCTGGCCAGACGGGTTGGTTTAGGGTTTGTGTCAAATTTTCCTTCTCTCTGCATTGCTATTGTCCTGCGTGGCTTGCTCCCTTAGTCCACATTTAACTCTTTAAAAGTCAAACTCAACTCAACACAAAATATCTTTATATCATAAAAAAAAAAAAATGAAATCGTCCCTTGTCCCCACAATAGCAACAATCTATGTTTTGTCAAATATTTAGCAAACTTAATATATACGTATCGAAAATCTGATTTACAACCGTTTCCAAAAGATTAAGCCTCATGAGAAGAAATAACAAACAAACTCACGACCACTCTTTTTTAATTAACAGATACATACAATTGCATCATTAAATATACATACATAACATTGTTTTGATGTGTGCCACTATGTAAGATTAAGGACTAAAAGGTAAAAATTTCATACATCAGCTCCATCTAGCGAAATCAAGATAAAGCTACATAGCAACTATTAATTCTGAATCGCGCAATGAGTTTCGCCCGGGGGAGGAAAAAGTATGGCAAATAAACGTTCAGTAACCGCAACACACATTACCTCTGGTATAGCACTTGACCATGGTTCAATTTAAACCTTATATAAATATCGTTGTTTAAATATCATTTTTGTAGAGAAAAGTATTTTTCATTACCAAAACAAATAAAAGGAAATTAAAAAAAACACAACGGCGCGGTCGAACCCGTATTGAGAATTTATTTATAATGTAACGACTATTGGAGCGACAATCAAGAATTGCGTAAAATTTATAAAAGAAAACACGTGTTAGATTAAGATAACGTAATAATGCACTTAAACCACGTACCACCGGTTACATAGTTACTTTTTATTGCTTCTGAAACGTATGGAGTTCATGCGTAATCATGTTACAAACATGGACCGTGTGGTGACGGATTAAGAATACAAAGTGTCACCACCCCTATTCATCCCGTGGGTGTCGTAACAGCCGACTAAGGGAACAAACTACGCAGAACAACAGCACTGCAGAGAGAAGGAACACTTGACAAAAACCTCCTTTCTAAGGAGAGGCTTATGTCCAGCAGTGGACTGTTAAAGGCTGTTGATCATGATTTTACAAACTCAGGGATACGAAAAACACGTATTTAGAACCTACTTTTTTCGCGAGGAAACGCCCTCTGGTCATCACCTCACAAGAGTCGAGGTTGAAGATTTATATTGGATTGCATCGACTAAAATACATGGTGTTTCGTTACAAGTGAGTCAACTACAGGGGACCCGGGATACCCTAATTAGAGACCAACCAAGAACTTTTACAGACTTAGGTCACCTGACGACGATCACACCGTGAAGGAGGACCTTAACCCCTCGCAATTCAGAGACGCACACGCGGACCGAGCTCCGACACTGTTTCAGGAAATTTTATTTACAACCTAAGTATACATAAACCATAGACAGGTAGTATAGTCTGTTCCTCATGGTCTATGACTAAGTTTAATTTGCCATCAATCAAAAGTGGCGTCTCGGTCTCTTCCAAGTTCGCAGTTTCAGACGTATTTTCCCATTTAAGTTTTTAAATAACCCTTGCCGTAGTTCCCTGACCCTATACAATTCTCTTACCAATTCACTTTTATCCTTTGTCCCGTCTGAAAACGAGTACATACCCAAAGAGGGTTGGCATCAGACAGGCGGCTGATTATGAAAGAAACCAGCCAAAACTCAATCTTAGCGCCTACTCTACACAAAATTGTGCAAGAAAATGAAAACGATAACCTAAGGTTAATGAGATTAATTTCCATTTCATTCCTAAATTGTTTTTAACTACTCCTTACAGATATGAGTTGGTTGTGAAGTTTTAAATGTAAGTGGAATGTAAAACCTGAGGCGGAGGCGCGTGTCGGCTGGGCTCGCCCGACAGCGGCACGGAGCGCGGCTCGCGCCGGCGCCGCTTGTTGGCGGGCCGCCGGGCCTCGTGCCGCTTGCGACCGCCCGACCCGCCCGTCGTCACAGAATCTGCTCAACGACAAATAGACCGACAATCACTTTATTGTAACTGCTTTAAGGCTCCTCTGTACCAAAAGCAAAGACGTGTGTCTTTGTCTACAATACATTATATTATGGCAGCAGAAACTAGGCATGCTGGAATGCTGTCAGGATATTATACGGTTTCCCGAAATAGAAGTGTAAGTTACTGTTTTAAAGTTAGGTAAACAAAAAATACAATTTAACTAACATTCATTCTCACAAACATTTTAAAGGTAATTTATAAGAACACAAAATGCTATGTTACTTCATTTGCTATCACGTAATGTCTAAAGTAAAAACATTAATGCAATTTTGATAAATGAATTACTATATGCTCGGTATCACCAACGATAACTCCATAGTTGTGAAAGTGATGGATTTTAAAACATTCATCGGTAATTCATTCGATAATGTGGTAGAAACAGAATCAGGACTTGTAGCAAAAAAACCTCTATTACGCAAAACATATTTTTAGTAGCTTTAATCTTTCTTCCTGTACAAAAACAGTGAGGAATAAAAATATATCTGAAAATGAATCGATTTAATGGCGTAATACTCGTATCATAGCGTCCTGTATTTTGCAAATTTTTAGAATAAATAAAAATCTGAAAACTTTGAAAATGAATTATACAAATTGTTAAGAATTCAGCTTTACCCTCGGTGTTATCCGTGTCCCTGGGTTCAGGGGGCGGCAGCGGCGTTGGTGGGGAGACCACGCGCGACAACGCGCTGCGCTTGTTGTCCACGAGCCGCAGCAGACACTCCAGCGCTGCTTGCTTGTTCTGTAACGCCACTTGCAAATAGTAGGCCAAAACCTCCTTTCTAAGGAGAGGCTTATGTCCAGCAGTGGACTATTATAGACTGTTGATGATGATGATGATGACTTGCAACTATCACTTTGTATTCATTTTAGGTGTTCTCTTCCCGAATTGCTAAAAGATCACCAAGAGAAATAGGAAGGCAAGGGAAGAATGTCTAAAGGTTTTTGTTCAAGTACTGCTACTGTTTGTAATGCTGTTTTCTATGGCAATAGAATTTAGGTTTACACATGGCTGAGATAAAGATGATGATCTTCATCATACATTTATGTCTTTATCGCCCGAAGCGGTAGACAGTCAGACATTTAATAACCTTGCTCATTCGAGCTTAAGCTTGTATAAGATAGAGAGCAGGCGTTATTCTTAATGCTGTCAGCCGCAGCAAACAAATGGTCATAATCATCACACAATGTTTATCCTGGGTGGGAATCGACTTTCCCGTTAGAATCGCTAACCATTAAACCAACAGACTAATAGGGTGGAGAAAGTAATGGTGAAAAAAGCGAATTACACCCACGGATGGTGATGATGATAATCACAAGATAAAACAGTCTTAAGATCTGAACTAGATCTGATCATCCAGAAAACGTTAGTTTACCTTGATCTCGTCGATTAATGTGTCAAACGCAGAAGGATCGGTTGTGTCCTTTAGCACCTCCCAGTTTTTGAACAGCTTTCTGTCCGACAAACGTACTGTGCTCTCTAGTTCTCGGACCTCTGTCGAACAAAATATGATTTACGTTAGCTCACCAAGATTATGTGTTGTGAAAAGTGATGGAAGTGTGATTTGACCAATTAGTTTTTTTTTAAAGACAACCCGCACTAGGAAGAAATCCTGTCTCGCGGGGGACTTTAAAAACATATACGAAACGGACACAAAGAACACCCAGACTCAGAACGACAATTTATGAATCACACAAGTGTCGTTCCGTGTGGGGATGGAACCCACAACACTCAGTGTAGTAGGAAGCAGCGTGGCGACCGCTTAAACCACTAAGCCATCTGTGCAGTACCAATGAGCTCGTACAGTGCTAGAATTGGCCTTTAGATGCTTATAGTAGGGGAGCCCTAGATGGGATTTTGGGATTTGGTCGAGCATGTCAGATTTACATAGGAGGAATACCCAGTTGAGTACCTCCATCTCCTTGAGACGATTTAATCGTGACATAAGGCAGTGGAAGGGTCACAAAGTTCCAAAACAAAGCACATGATCTTGACATTTTTTCTATTTTGAAGCAAACAATGCAAGAAATCTTTAAAAGTCTACACAATTTTTCGTGCCTTTACTTTTCATATTTTGTTAAAAATCAAAATATTTCCAACCGTCGAATTTATAATACTCCTTTTCAAAATTATTGACAGATTTTTGAACTGAACCATCTGTATAAAATTTAACACGCTCGGGTATTTCACAATGGCAATTTTTCGAATTTGCAGTTTGCATTTTCGATAATTCGCTAAGATCACTAGTGTCACTTTAAAATCGTCAGACCTATCAATGGAAGCATTTTCGACATCCAAATAAAATATCCCCAATATTTCAGATGCGCTCTAACTTTTATTCATTCTATTAACTAATCTTTTAAATGCAATAGGTTCCCATCACGCTCGAGTAAATCCCCATTTAGCATCACGGGCTCCCCTACTATTAGTGGCATGTCAAATGTATGTGACTACTGAAAGGTTCACTTGTTTTATCATCATCATGATCATCATATCAGCCTATCGCAGTCTACTGCTGAACATAGGCCTCTCCCATTGCAAGCCACTTTGATCTATTCAGAGATCCAGCGAGAGCTGTTAAAAACACGAGATGTTTTTGTATTTTCGTGAAATTAATGAGTATTTCCACAAAGAAGAAAAGACTATCCACTTTCTCAGCAATATCAGATCTTGGATTTTAGTATGCTAAAAACACATATCTAATAAGTAGTCTACTATTTTATTTATTTTAGTGATTCTTTTTTAACCCCCGACGGAAAACGAGGGGTATTATAAGTTTAAACTGTGTATCTTTCTGTCTGTTGCATCATAGCTCCCGAACGGATGGACCAATTTCGATGCGGATTTTTTTGTTCGAAAGCCGGTGTGATCGAGATGGTTCATAGCTACATATTTTGAAGATCATCATCTCGCTTCCTAGGCGATGAAAGGGATCTTACTAAAATCTACAGGTCTGATTGATCTGAAAATTGGTATACTGTTACTTTGATGGTATTTCCACGACATGGTAACCCAGAAGCTGCTGCTGCATCAAGTAGTGTGCGGGATAGCCAACTCCTCAGAAAATTACAGCATATATATATATATTTATATATATACCATGTTTGGGCTTATTATAACAGTCTCAATGAGAAGTTGTTGTATTTACGGTTTTTTTTATGTGTTGTTTTAGGGGTTTTTTAATTACGCTATTATCATTTTTTCTTTGAAAATAGAGCGTGACTGACCGGAGTCCCTGAGCGTAGCGAGCGTGGTGACGATCTGCTTCTTGTGGGCGCGCAGTGCGCGTCGCTGTGCGCGTGTTCGAGCCACCACGTCACGAGCGTTGCGCGCCTCCGCCGCTAGTGCGGCCACTTCGCGAGCCTCCGCCTCCAGCCGCCGCTCCAGCGAGCTGAAAAACGAACATGAAATCACTCTGTCTTGTCTGCATAAACTCGTCACTTAGGAATTACTCATTTTTTACGAATCTCGATATTTTGCTGACTAAAGGATCTGATCTAAAGGTCTCCTAAAATCTATCAGAATCTCCGTTTTCAGCTACCACCTACTCATACTAGATCCTCGCAAAATGTCAGGTCTCTATAAAAGATTCAAGGAATTTCATATAAGATTGTCAAAGCTCTTTAACCCCCATATTCGCCTTTCGTCGTAAAGTCCATTCTTAGTTGACACCTCCGCTCTCTCATCTTCTAAATTCCAGATTCCACCAGGTTTATTTGTATTATTATTTGGTATTAATTAATAAATATATTAAATTAAAGTACCTCGGATATTCCCCTGTAACTCTAGCGTACGACTGTATGTTCCGAATCACTTCCACCAGATGGTGAAGTTGATCACAGAACTCCGGTAGCTGCTCAGGAGTTAAGTATTGGCCACCGTATCTAGAAAAACAGTTTTATATTACTTTTTATGGAACAAACCAGCAGACGGGTCACCTGATGGTAAGTAATTGTGTTGTGGTGTGTTACCTCCTCCTCTCTCTTTTCCTCCGGCAACCTCAGTCATTGCGTAAAGAGCAACGAAGGAATTGCTTATCAACAGTTTTTTGTGAGGCAGTGGTCTCATTCCGGACGAGCCGGCTCATATGTGCCGAGGAGTTGATCTCCCACGATCTCGTTTTCCTTGTTTTTAAACTTCATTGTGAAATATTTATCAATGCGTGTGTTGTATCTAGACTTCTTACTATTACATAACAGGTACGGGCTGTGCCTGTTATGGGAAGATTTAGAGTAATTTAGAAAATAAAACAGCGATGTGTTCCCAAGAGTTGACTTTCAATAAAAAATATATTTATACACTTAACTATTGTTGCTAATGAAGAGCTTTTAAAAACTCGTTTAATGAGACATTGCTATTAATAAAAGGGTAGGGCGTTTCCAACTTGTGTGACGAATAATGTAATAATAATTATGTAATTAAGCAGTACATTTCTAAAAGTAGTTGGGTAAGTTAGGATTAAAATAAAAACAAAGTAGGGACAATATGTTTTTTATTTATTTAATAATGCAATATGGTCGTTAGTATTTCAGGAAAATTGTATTTTAAAACCGCAAGTTTATTAATAAATTATAGTTACTTTAATATTAAAAAAACTAAAAGAAAGACGCCTAAATATCAAACCGAACTAAAACCACATTTTTGAAAAACTACCACATTATTACTTCATCTTATCATTCATTTCATCATCAACAGCCATTAACAGTCCACTGCTGGACATAGGCCTCTCCTCAGAAAGGAGGTTTTGGCCTACTATACCACGCGGGCCAGATGGGTTGGTATATGTAGTTTGCTCCTTAGTCGGCTCTTACGACACCCACGGGATGAATGGGGGTGGTGACAATCCGTATTCTTAATCCGTGACCACACGGACAGAATTAATTCTTTACTTAATTATTATTATTACCTAATTGGTATTATATTATTGTATTTAAAAGACGCGCTTTTATCGCAAACCAGAATAAAAATAAGAAAATACTATCTATACATCTATACAAATAAATAAAATTGAGTGTCTGTTTGTAATGTCAAAATACTAGGTTATTATCAATACTTACACGGCTATTTGCACGATACCTATGACTAAAAACAAGTTAAATATTTTTTGTCTGCCTGTTTGTTCCAGGTAATCTTCTAAACGGCTGGACCAATTTTGATAATATTTTACTACCAGGTAGCTGTCTATATAAGAAGTAACTAAGGCTATTTTTCCTCTCAGGAAAACCATATAAAATTTTGCCCGGTCCGGGCATTTAAAACCGAGGCCTCATGAACAGCAGTCGCGTACCGTACTACACCACTAACGCAATGCTTTTCAAATTCCACCCAAACTAAGTCGCGGGTACCAGCTAGTAATAAGTAAAATAATAAATAGATAGACAGATACATCACATCATCACATCAACAGCCTTTAATAGTCCACTGCTGGACATAGGCCTCACCTTAGAAAGGAGGTTCAGGCCTAGACAGATACAGGCGAGCCTAACATACCTAGAGCTTGTAAACACAGTTACCTCAAGTCGATGTTAGCAGCAAACTGAGTATCATCTATAGGGCACGAAGGTTTTGGCGAGGGTTCAGGCGACAATATTCGGGACGTCTTGGACGACACTGTGCTCTGACCGGCCGGTGTCTCCGATTCCATGTCCTCATCACCGTTTACGCTGCCACCACCAGTGCTTTCGCTCATGCTAAAGTTTTAGATTCACTATGATTAGAACAAGTCAAACATTTATACACCTGCTTAAGAAAACCTTTGTGATTGTGAAGCGTTTTAATAGCGATTAATTAAGCAAACAACAAATAGATCGGCTACTAATGATATTAGGGTTACAAATTATTAGGGTTCCTAATTTTTAGGGTTACTAAATGGAATAGATACTTATTATTCCCCTAATAATAGGAATAAGGCAAAAATACCTTTAAATTGTATGATCACTGACCACGTTTTAAACGTTACAATAAAAACTGTTCAGGTTGGCTTAACCCCTTAATTATAAAACCCCATAACTTCGGCGTCCTTTAAGTACATACGTGAGGGAAATCGTATTTCTAACAAATATTGATCACTATTGTGACATTCTAATAACCATAAATTCTACTGTGTACCATCAGATACTTGGCCCTTCACTAATTTTTTACCGACTTCAAAAAGAAGGAGGTTCTATGTTCCACTGTATGTATTTTTTTTTCAATGTATTTTCATATACAATTTTATCTACAAACACGATTACAGGGTGCCTATCACTGCAAGGGGATGATGTTGAGATTCTTCAGACTCTTCTTCTCCTCCATATAAACAAAATTACGTTCTTGGTATTGCTTAGGTGTGATATTCCAGTCCTGTGGCCATGAATCTGGCAGAAACCTACTCTATTTTATTTGCTTTTATTCAACTGCCATTTTTTTGGCTTTACTTATGAAAAGAAAAGATAGAACCTCACGCGTAAGAATAAGTGAACGAATATCCGTTGTCCAAGCTATTGTTCAGGATCTGCCGTGGTGATCACCCCTGAGCTTGCCGAGCAGTCGTCCGAGTAGCCGCGACTGCCGCCCCCCACCCTCCATACCGCGACGGCTGTGGTGCTGCCCCGTTTGGTTGCTACCGCTGGTGGAAGTAAGGCATTTTTATTACGCACTTTTTAGGTTTTAGCTGCCAAAATTGCCTCAGTCTACTTTAGCAGTCTCTTTTTTTATGGAAGAAGGGGCAGACGAGCAGACAGGTTACCTGATGGAAAGTGGCCACCGCCGCCCATGTATAGATGTTTTTGCAGTCTTATGACCCTTTTGTAAATTTTAGTTTTTTTCCTTTATATCTGATAAGTCCACAACATTAAAACAGGCAAAAGGCAAATTTGATTTGATAAATTTTTGACGTGATTGCAGTAGGTATCTGACGGGCCTATTTTGACTGTCTAGTGGATTTAAGCGCAAACCGTCCCATTCGCAAATGGTCCCACTGTAGCAAAACCTTTCATTCGCAGTTAGCGATCCTGACTGCGTCTTTTATCCCCAAGAGGTACACAGAGGGCGTTTTGAAACTCCCACATTTTGCCGAATACTCATATAGTCCTAACTAGTCCTAGTAAATTACCGAATAATCATAGTCCCGCCAGTAACGTAATATATCTTTTAATAATAACATAGGTACACATTGTAGATCAATTACACCAAGACACAAGGAACAAATCATCGTGCTCATCACACAATAAAGTAGTACAGAATTTGTCGGTGGAAATCCAACCCCGGACCTCTGTCTTAGCAGTCAGAATAGCTAACCACTGCAGTAATTGGGCCAGTGAATTTAAATCAGTCAAAACTGACAACGCAACAGAAGCTTATACGACTGCCCAATACTATTTATTATTGTATTTGACTTTTACATATTTATGGGAACGTGAGACAATACCTTTTGTTTGCGGTAAGCACCCTCTAATTCTCAGTTCTCTACGGTACAGTTGCGGTATAAATTTGGCAGCTGCCACAGAGTGGAAATGAATAAAAATTGAGATAAGGCTGGACCACTTTTTTACTTAGCTTGATTTTGTAGCACTGAAAGAGGTTGTTATCATTATTTAATAGGTAATCAGAGCAGCCACCGTCTAAATAATCGTCCTGTAGGAACTTGGTTTTTGGTACAACCCCGCGGCCATGTCACTGTATTCACTTCATCATCACACACACACACTTCTGTCCCACGAAATCTCTCCCACTGATTACAGGAAATGGAGAGAAAGCATATGACGCATTAAAAACAAAAAGATCACGTTATAGTACATCGTCCGTGTGGTGATGGATTTAAGAACGCTATTCATCCCGTGGGTGTCGTGGGAGCCGACTAAGGGAGCAAACTACGCAGAAAAACAACACTGAGAGAAGGAAAACTTGACACAAACCCTATACCAACCCTTCTGGCCAGCGTGGTATAGTAGGCCAAAACCTCCTTTCTAAGGAGAGGCTTATGTCCAGCAGTGGACTATTAAAGCCCGTTGATGTGATAGTACGTTGCACGACGGAATAATTTTTAGATTTTTTGGTAGATATTTTTAATAAGATAGTAAATCCGAGCATTATTAATCTATTCAGAGGTAACACATTAGGATAAAGGTCTACTTACATCTTTAGTAACGCCGATTGAAAAAGCGTTTTTCTCTACGTATCGCATCAGTCCCAGTAAGAGCCATTTTTTTGCATTATCTTATCATTTTTAACGCTTTAACATTTTTATATATATTTTAAAGTTTTAAAGAAAATACGTCATTTAATTTTTATAGGACACATGGAATTTGACGTTTAAGCGTACATTTTAGACTTGTTCTTTTTTTACTGAAGTACGCTTTAGTAAAAAGGTTGCGCATTTTTTTTACAAACCTTTTTTTCATTTTTGACTGCTGCGTAAAACTTTTTCTATTTCAAATGATTAATAAAATTAAAGGATTAGGTATAAACTATCGCGTTTCATGATAATGTATAGGTATTTAAGCTGCTAGAAGACCTTTAAAAAAGTGTACGATCGGGCAATTGTGTACTTATACGTAGGCAATACAAAGGAACTTTTGTATTGCAGAGGAGGAGGAAGTATTATCCCTGTGAGACAGAGATGAAATAGATTCCTGCAGTTGTAATATATTTATTACGCTACAGTCCGTCAGTATTACGGTATAATATAATAATAATTCGAATGGAGCTAAAAATTGGTATAAATGTCCGGAACACCATTATCAATACCCACCATAAATGAATACTGAAAATTCCCCATTGATCACGTACCTCGATTTTTTTTATTCAAACATACGTCTCAAAAATTGGTTTTTCGCGTTTTTCAGCAAAACTGTAGATCATATATAATTATCTTTAATGTCCTCAATTCTTTCCTTCCTAAGAGCCACCGTTTCTAAGATATAACGATTCTAAAAGTTCCCCTGTGCCTCTGTAAGTTTGTGTAGGCATCACTTTATCTGACGTATAGCTCCTGACAATGAAGTCGCTTTTTGTTCTTGTACGATTATATTTTTCAAACTACGTAACGGATTTAAATGCGGTTTTCAATACAGAAAGTGATTTAAGAGGCGGGTATCTATGTATATCATGTAATCCGTGAATTTCAAAGATTTGTAATGTGAATTCTTAAACAATGTTTTTGTCCGCTTACATTGCAAACGCTGGTTAAATATTATGAGCTAGATTTAAAAATGTACTACCTAAAGACTTGTATACTTAAAAAGAAAAAAAGTTACGATGGCATGTCTTTCTCTGAAAGATAACCATCACCAACCATTTTTATCTTTTACATAAAACAAAAAAAAATGACGACGAAGCTATTTCGAACAATACAGTATTAATACTTGTCCAATTAAATAAGTTAGATACGTTGTGCATTTAATGTAGATCAAAAAACCCTTTTACAGTATATCATTTAAATAGATCATCATCAACGTGTGCGTTACCCCAGCAAAATAATGTCGAAAATGGTCATTTAAACGTTATAGATAATTAGTTGCTCCCCTTCTGTAATTGTTAGGCACATTTTTAAATTTGTTTCACTTAAACTTTTTTAGTTATTTCAAAAAAACATTTCCTGCTGGGGTAACGTTTGAAACGTTACCGCAGCCAGACATTTTCTTTTTTAATTGTAATATTGAAATAAATTTTAGCTACATAATTAGTTATCCGGACTAGGTAAATGTTACAACTTATTTGGTATTTGTATTTTCTTCGGTTGCGAAGTTATTCGAGATCCTGCTGGAGTAACGTTTGTGGGTTTGCTGGATCTCTGAAACGGGTAAGCGGATTGTAACCATCTTTTGTACATAACTTCTTAAGGATTAGTTTTAATTTGTTCGACAATAAAATAACAAAAATAATGGACCGTTTAAAAATTATTTAGGTAAGTATGAAAACACTTCAATACGTCCTAGCACTTTAAATAAGACCTCTAAAGACTTACTTCAAACGTTATTCTATTGCTTGTAACTACCTTCAAATGTATACGAATTTTCGTAAGAATACTGTAAGAGACTAAAAAGTTATGATGAAATGTAGCTCTCCACGTTCACGATCACAATGTGTGCGGCCTTTTTTGGCCACCGATAAACCTGTGTGTGGATATATAAACTGAATGTTATGCCAATAATTAGTTGTTTAGTTCAGTTGTCTACCTGTAGAATTTCAGCGTCATACATATAATAATTTACGAGATACTTAAATAAAAGTCATTAGAAGGTGCAAGTCCGTGGTAATCCGACCATGTTTAGGTGGTTACAAAAAAGCGATCACCCAGTACATTGCGCTGTCTTTTAAAATGTTTAGTGTAATACACCTTACGATTTCGGTACAGTTGCGTGCAGTGTTAAATACATTCAATATTTATTGATTATTATTACCTATTATTTATTTTGTTCTTTTTTTCCTAATTGATCTTAAGCACTAGTTTCTTTACTTAAAATTTCTTTAGTCTTTTTAACTACCGGAGCTACAATCAACAGAAAAATCTGCACTGGTCCGCTAAAATTAGAAATAACATGTATCTACAATACATGTATGAACGATTCACCTGACTGCAATAAATCGAAAATTTAAACCAATAAGAAATCGTTTCATTTCTTTGATTTTTTTTTTGTAAAGAAATGACACTAAAGTAATTGTATTTTATTTTGAGGTGTATAGAGCTTAGACTTGAATGCATCAAAATATTTAAAGCAACAAGTCATCTACAATAAGTTAAAATAGACCGAATAGTAGAAAATACAGTTGTAAATTAGAATGCATCAACATTGCATCGCCCAACAGTCGTATACCTCGTAAGAGTAGGTAATATTGTTCTGTGGTCTATACCGAGAACCGAGAATTATCTATACCTATGTACCTACCGCTAAGCGTTGAGCCCGTGACTGTTGATTTCTGTTAAAAACGAACAGTTGTTGAATGATATTTTGATATAATAACGGTAATTTAATTTATCGAGTGAAAGTGATACATTTTTATAGATAAAATTATTGGTCAGATAATATTTGTCAATCAAGAATCGCCGATAAAACATCCTTCGCTAGAACGCGGGAGGGGAGGGGCGAAGGGACACTTCATTGTTTGCAATTTGCATCTAGTACACTAAACTTGAACCTTAGGCAGATAATATACGTCTTGTAAAGTGCGTGAGCGCTTCCGCTTTCTATTTTTGCAAATATTTATCGTATTCTTGAGAGTTCTTCAATATGTGTGTACCTAATTACTAATAATGGGCATTAATGCTAATTCGATTCAATTTAAGTAATTGTCAATTCTTGTCTTAGGATATTAATTACTAATGCTTATATTGAAATTTCGTTCAGGGTGAACAAATTAAAAACGATCATAACTTGTAGGTAGGTATATCACTTATTACTAATTTTACATAAATAATTTATTTTATTATAATTTAACTCACCGCGATTTTGTGATCAAATATTTATTTTCTCTAACATTATTACAGAAATAATGCAATACAGAGTTTGTTCGCGATATGCTAGCCTAAGTCGATTCATCACTTAAAAAATCCCCATCTATTCTCAAAATACCTATTTACAACGCATACGTTACACTCTCAAAACTTAAATTACCTATCCCTACCCTAAAATTAAACTTCAATTAACAAATACTACACAGGGACTAATTCTATGAACAACTATAAACAATTCACCTTAAAATTACGAGAAAACAAAAGCATTCAAAACAATACCTAATCTCCCGGCTAATTACTAATTATGCAATAAACAATCCTAAATAAAAATTATTTAAAAACATGTAGTTTTTTGTAACACTTATGTACATATCCGTAGTAAACTTGCAAATAATATCCTACATATTTTAAAAGCCAGCACAATGTACTGGGTGATCGCATTTTTGTAACCACCTAAACATGGTCGGGTTACACGGTCTTGCACCTTCTAATGACTTTTATTTAATTATCTCGTAAATTATTATATGTACGACGCTGAAATTCTACAGGTAGACAACTGAACTAAACAACTAATTATTGGCATAACATTCAGTTTATATATCCACACACAGGTTTATCGGTGGCCAAAAAAGGCCGCACACATTGTGATCGTGAACGTGGAGAGCTACATTTCATCATAACTTTTTAGTCACTTACAGTATTCTTACGAAAATTCGTATACATTTGAAGGTAGTTACAAGCAATAGAATAACGTTTGAAGTAAGTCTTTAGAGGTCTTATTTAAAGTGTTAGGACGTATTGAAGTGTTTTCATACTTACTTAAATAATTTTTAAACGGTCCATTATTTTTGTTATTTTATTGTCGAACAAATTAAAACTCATCCTTAAGAAGTTATGTACAAAAGATGGTTACAATTCGCTTACCCGTTTCAGAGATCCAGCAAACCCACAAACGTTACTCCAGCAGGATCTCGAATAACTTCGCAGCCGAAGAAAATACAAATACCAAATAAGTTGTAACATTTACCTAGTCCGGATAACTAATTATGTAGCTAAAATTTATTTCAAGATTACAATTAAAAAAGAAAATGTCTGGCTGCGGTAACGTTTCAAACGTTACCCCAGCAGGAAATGTTTTTTTTGAAATAACTAAAAAAGTTTAAGTGAAACAAATTTAAAAATGTGCCTAACAATTACAGAAGGGGAGCAACTAATTATCTATAACGTTTAAATGACCATTTTCGACATTATTTTGCTGGGGTAACGCACACATCATCAACAGCCTTTAAGAGTCCACTGCTGGACCTAGGTCTCTCCAAAGATTTTGGCCTACTATACCACGCTGGCCATACGGGTTGGTGTAGGGTTTGCGTCGGTCGTCATACGCTCCATGGCCGGTAGTAACAGATGTTTCACCGCGATCGCATGCTTCTGGGAAGACGTCATCTCGCAGAAGGAGGCGGCGAAGTGAGCCCGGGAGGACAACCTCCATTCAAACCCAATTCGCTGCCGGCGAACGAGGCTGCTGGCGGCACGAGGCGGTGGTGCCACCGCCTCGTGCCGCCTTGAGTGTGGCCGCGGGTGGACGGGACGGGTTTTCTCCTCCACCTGTCCTGTCATAACGGCCAGCCGCGAGGCGACATCCGGCACACGCGTAAATGGAAAATTTACCCGATGATGGTGCCCGCCATTGCGGGCAAGCGCTAGGAGTCCGGATGTCTTAATAATAGCGGTTCCTGGATCTCTCCTACAACAGGCGCAGAGTGGCACCCGTGTGGTTCGGTCGGTCCGATTCCGACACACCACCCCGCCGCAAACCCCGGTGGGTTGACGGCCCGAGGGGGTTTCCACACGTAAAAAAAAGGGTTTTTTATCAAGTTTTCCTTGTGCTGTTGTCCTGCGTAGTTACGCAAAAACTTGCTAGCCGACTAAGGGAGCTAACTAGCTCCCTTAGTCGGCTCTGACTACACCCACGTATCATGCCGCTGGATTGGAGAACAGTACAGAAGTCCCACTCCGCAAAATCGTTTCACCAATAGCTACTTGTTGTTGACTCAAAATATTAATCAGGTCGCACAGCGGCTTGTTAGAGTTCAATTCCTTTGTCTTTTGAATTTATTTCGGCGTGTTAATAATGTGGCTTTCGAATCTCTGTTATTGTTTAAGAAGCCAAATATAGTGTAACTAGCGATCGCAATGTAGATACCATGTGGTGTCAGTGCAGAGTAAATTGTTCTTAGTTCGACTTCATTCTCCCATAAAGTCTTACTGCTAATGTAAAATGAAACACAGAATACATTTTATAATTTTGTAATTCATATAAAAATACAATTATCATTATTAATATACATAATCGCATTTGCCAAAGAAGGCATACAATAGTTACTTTCAATAAAAACAATCATTGCAAAACATGAAATGTTACTATCGAGACAATTTAAGTACATCCAAATTGAGAGGCATGTATCAGTCTGCTTACGCCCTAACGCCATCGTATATTCACATTTAAAAGCCTTAAACAGATAGTAATCTCAAGTCACACGTCAGGCCGATACTTGCAATAACACTAGTCAAGATTGTTTTACATTTGGGCCTTACAAAAAATCCTATTTGAAATTGTATACCTCTAAGTCTAATAGAGAGTTTGGCTAGCTTCGTCTTGACACTAAAGCTGGATATGCAAGATTAAAATAAGAAAATACTTCCCTAACTATAATCGTAAATAATACTAGCATTGAAAACTGTATTCTGTTCAGTAAATATTAAAGAATTCCTTTCTGCGAGGATTATAAAAGAACCATTCGTTTACTTATCAAGCAGTCTTTAGACGCCCGACCGGGAACCAGAAGCGATCGTATTTAAAACAAAACTATATCTACAACCAACAATTTTTTTTGAAATCAAAGGCACAGCATCACCCCTCAATAAACCTAACGGCTTGTCCACATTAGATTGAATCTTTCCTAGTGCGGATGTTTCCTTCAACATTTATTCACATTCATAATACCGTGTTACTTTCCTTAAGTTTACGTTCCCTATGTAGTTCCTATACAACCATGGGTAGAGGTTATATTATCAACAGAAATTAATTTTGACAAAGGACTGTCCTTAGTTGTTGGATGTGGGAGAAAAATGCTAAAATGAAACGTAGATACCGCAAGCAAAAAGATGCGTAACATGAACAAGCGTACTGGCCCCACCGGGAATCTTCAACGCAACGAAACAAAGCTGAATCTGGTCCCACCTTACCAGAGCCCTGAGGAGAAACCTCCTGGCGGTACACGTACGCGTTTGGGAGCCTCTACCTTGGGTGGAGGTTGGGCAGCTGGTTCAGGCTTTACTGGACTGTTTTGTTTGGGTTCTGGAGCAGGCTCTGGTGGAGTGCTTTGACCATTTTGACCGTTCTGGCTGGGCGTTTCTGTAGCCTGTCCGTTTGTAGGCTTTGTCTCCTCTTGAGCTGAAATGATAAGTCAGATTTTATTCAATTGCTTCATCTGTTTTACATACCCTAATTTACCCTTTTCCTTTATACTTGGCTGAAAGCGATGACATTCCTAAGGATGGTTGAAATTAGGCAGACTGGCTATAGAGCAAATCAGCCAAAACCTTTAACAAAGTAAGATATTTGGCCGACCCCAAACGAAAATGGGGAAAAAAGGTAGCAAGATTTTGTGTATCGAGCTGAATATGTACTGGCCATCTAAGGAAAATCGTCGCTACCTGGCCGCAGGGTGTCCTACATTACGTAACGATCTGGGCAATTATCTGCACAAAACGGCGATACTGGCAATGGAATATGTAAGACTGATAATGAATAAAAACAGTTTTCATGGAGCATTCTTGGTATTAAAAGACCATGATTAACCAAGAGCTTCGATCGATCGTCTACGCATATTAACCGAAAAGTTATACTGAAAAGTTTTTAATACTCACCTACAACGGCACCAATGCCGGAAGGGGGTGGACCTCCGCGTCTCGGAGTAGGAGGCTGAGGTTCAGGTTCCCCACCAAAGATATCAGTGTGGCCGCCACCAGGAGGACGGAGCACCCGGCTTGACGCGCGAGTGTTGTCATTCAGACCAACATTGATGGATGTGGAAGTCATTCTTGATCCTGGAATATATTACACAATTGTTATTTACAGTGAAAAAATAAAGATACGTATAATTTAACAAAGTGGAAAGAAAATAGAGTAGTCTTTATTGTATATACATCAAATATTAGACAATTCATAGATGGTCGATGTCCTTGTACTGTGTATTGAACTAAATATAAATATACAAATGAAGTGAAGGACTGCGTGAAAGAGAGATTTGAGTGATAGAGGAGAATGGGAGAAGAAAACTCATTGCACCGACCACAAATAAATTAAGGAAGAAGGTAAAGAAGATAATGACTAATATTTATGTATATAGAACTAGCTGACCCGTCAAACGTTGTATTGCAAAACAAAAAAAATTAGGGATGGGTCACCCTTACCATTTAGGGGTATGAAAAATAGATGTTGGCCGATTCTCAGACCTACCCAATGTGCACACAAAATTTCATGAGAACGGTCACGAGACACACATCGGTCATTGTGACACGAGAATTTTATATATAAGATTAATAATACAAGTAATCTTATACAAAAAGATGGCAAGAACTTAAAATACTTAAAGTAAGTTAGACGAAAAAAAATTGTGTATTAGAGCAACGCAAATATCTTTATAAAACAATAGTTTTCTAAAAACTGTAACCATTTTAATCTTTGTCATTATGTTTAATATTTGTGTTAATCTGTATGGTCTAGGGGGCAAATTAGCCAATGGGTCACCTGATGGCAAGTGACTAATGCTGCCCATGGGCAGCGTTTGGCCCTCCGATAACCCCACTTACCACCGCTTAGTGAAAAGCAACAGAAAAATCGTTTAACGCCGGTCGACCCACATTCAGCCCAAAGTATGGCTCTCTCATAAACGGATAGTATTTTAGAACAATTACTAACGAAGGATTATATCTCTACATGAGGATAATGACGGAAAAAATTTAGAATTCAAAATATTTATTATTCAACCCACTAATTTTAATCCTTTTATTATATGTAAGCAAACATGCGTAGTTTTTGCGTAGCGTTTTTATTTTATAACAGCAAAATCAAACGTGACATACGACACAATTTGTTCTTAATTGTAATCTACTAATCATCTCAGTTGACAATATTTATTGACAAAATATTTGTCAATAAAAATCTCTGACCAATATTTACAGCCCAACACTATTCATGATATTGTCTATGAAACAAAACATAAAATTGCAATTTACCGCTTCACGTTATAGACAATACACGTTCACGTCACTGCAGTTAAATAGTGATGTCAAACGAAAGACGCGTCAAATATTATCTGTTCAATAAAATCGAATGATGTAATTTTAAACATGACCTCAGTTAATTCTAGATCGATATGATTAGAATCGAAGCAGTGGCGCAGACAAATGACACAGTAATCGACCAAACGACAAATGACTATCGATCAGAGCATGAAAATCTATTAATCTTCTAGAAGCCAATTGTGTCTGTGAAATAGTAGTAAGGTCTATTAGGTCTAGTAGGTAATGCACATTTATTTTTAAATATGCCTTTTAGGGTTCCTAGTAATAGTCCTGTTAAAAAAAAAACTTTACAGTGTCGCTGTATCTGCCTTCATAGTTGGATTAGACTGTCAGCGTTAGAAATCTATAACTTTGCATGGGGACGGTGGGATAGTGGTAAATAAAATGTTAAAAAAAATGTTTAGGGTATCCCCCTACAAGTAACCTTTACATGCATAAAGTTAAGGTGACCTTTCTACTATCGTCTGGGTACGTCTTTCAAAAACATTGAGAAATTGTGAAGACTATTTATCATTAGTATCGTTATTTAGTGATAATTTAGCGAAGTATTGATCATTAAAGTGCTAATTTTCGTTAAGAGTCGAATTGTATTTCTAAACAAGCGACACCGTTTAAAAATCCGTCAAAACCATGGTAGTACATACCTATATAGTTTTAGAAAGAAAAGTATCACGGCAAGTAAGATCTGTTAATTTATAACTATGAAGTGACTTGGATTAAAATTGGTAATTATTTAAAACATGTAGGAATCAGCTACGGAACTCCACTAAAGGAAGGAAACTCGTATTTTGCTAATTTTTGTCATTGCCTCACACCTTAGAAGTGAGCAATATCCATTGATAAGAATTTCTTTAATCATCTTTATTTAAAACAATGACGCTTTTTACGCGGACAACGAAATTCAACGATTACTGTAAATAATAATATCGGCCTAGTTCGTAATACATGAAGTTATTTGTTGTTCAAGTAATGTAAACAGTACAGTCACATTATCGATAACAGGTATAATTTATAATTTATTTATTTATAATTTATTAAAAAGAAAAAGAACAGAAAATGACACATGTAAAACCCAAACATATCGGAGACATAAATAAAATGACTACGTGATACGACGCATAAGTATTCCACTGAACAAATCGACTATACTTAGACAACTTACAAGTACCAAATAGATTAGTGCACGGAATTATCTCAGATTCATGATACACAAATTCGGAATACAGAATTCCTACCATATACAAGTAGCAAAAATTTATACTCCGAACATGCACATGAAGTAAATTAATGGCATACGTCAATAGTGGTAAATAAATTACACTAATCCATCTTAACAAATACTTTAGTTTGTTGTGCCAATAGCACAATAACAAGGAAAAACAAAAAAAAAAGAAAACAAAAACATAAAAAACAGTAACAGTGATTAGTAAAGAAAAAAATAAAATGACTCGAGTGTAAAAAGATTATGTTACAATAACTATTAAACAAGATTTAGATAGGGTTTTATTTATTGCTATAGGAACAGTAAATATATATATAATTTATTTTCTTTTCGATAAAGTCTTTACCTCCCGTGCTAGTCAAAAGACTGTGTTACGGCAAAGTAAATTCTTCTCAGATATTATTTCGTAACCCACAAAGGTATTATGTGAATATAATACATTTTTAAGCAAATACACCTACACATACCTACGTATACTAAATAAATATCTATATATACACACATATTTTTACTATGTATATCACTACTATTTATACACAGTTCTATTTGTCTATACGCATACATATATAATCGCATACATACATATTTAAGCGCTTACATAAAATATTTGTCCACCATTTTGCTTGCTTACAATACTCACTATACATACTCCCATATAATTTCGGATCAAAATTAAATCACCCGTACAAATAACAATCACGAAATGTGTCTTTACTTACATACTTGCATAATTTTTTCTGTCCCTTCGTAGTCTAAACTGCTTAGGTACTTCTCCAGTTCCCTCCTGCACACAAACCTCGTCATGTTTGTCAAACTTTTAACTTTACTTATGCGATTATAAAGCAGCGGGCCGAGAAAGTGTGAAAAACATTGAGCAAACGCAGTTTTACAAGAGGGCACCTCATAGATATCGTGTGTTCTTCTCATGGATCTATTTGGAGGCCTTTGGCGACGATGTTGCTTCAAAATAAGGTATTTAATGAAATGTTGACGAATAGTGAGAACTTCAAATTCCCTATACAATTTTAAGGTAGGGTACTTAAACGGTTTGAAATTAATTATTTTTTATTGTAATTAAATTGGTATTGATAAGTTATGTAACGGACGTACCTATTCCTTCTTTCAACAAATGTGTTGCTCACCACGGTAACTTACTTATGAATCACGACTTGTGAATAATCCCTCTTATTATAGTGACTGACTATTTGTTCCTAGTATTGTTATAAAAAGTATGTGACTGGATCGATTGTTATCTTTCAGATACCTAATCTGGGAACGTTTATCTTAAATCATTGGGCAAGGCAATAATGGTATGACGCTACCGTTTCTCAACAAATACTTTGGTAGTTCATGAGTTCTTGATCAAAGACAAAATGTGAATCATATGAACAGTCTTCCTGGTAACGTTACTACTATTATAAATGCGAAAATTGGGATGGATGTTTTTCAATTTATCACGCTAGAACAGCTAATTGGATCTGGAGGAATTTTTGCGTAGATCTAGCACATAATTACGAGTAATGTATATTATATCCCAGTAAAATTGATAGACAAAATCAACATCAATGCGTACAAAGCCACGGGCAAACAGCTAGTAAAAAAAGATCGAATAAAATTGCGCAATTACTCGTGTGTCTAGTGGTTACCAAAATAAAATAGTTTAAGTATCTTTAGAGTCAAAATGGAGCTGCATGCGGTGCATGGAATGCATTAGACTAGACTCATCGTCGATTTTAAATATATAAAAACGTTTTGTTTTTATACAAACCTTGTTATTTCTAAAGTAGAAAACATGCGCAAATGTAGGTAACAAAAATTCCACGGCTAAGGGAAATCGATGTAACTAAGTGGGTAAGGTACTCTTATGTTTGCGTAAACACTGACCGCATGACTGAAGATTGATATAAATGCGGCCTCTGACACAACACCGCCATATTGTAGTAAATACATAAAAAAAAGATACAGCTGTCATCTACTAGACACAAAATCCCTCCAATAATTTAAATTTCGAACCTTTTATATTTTTGCAGCTGGCAAGATGCAACTTTTGAATACAGAACAACAGTTGTGTAAGAATCAATTCTTTTTACTTTGGTTTAAAATCGACATTCGATAGGCGTAAAGGATCGATCTTAAAACATCTGCTACCGGTTTTTTTTTAATTGTTCTATTTATAAGCAAAACAGTTGGACTTTATCATGTAGGTATCTACTACATTCAAGACAGTTACTGAATAAAAGATAATAAGCCAAGAAATCTTTAAGCAATAACAACAAATTGCAAAAACAATAACACTAATAGCTACAGCTAAAAGTTTAAGACCCTTTTTTCTACCTGGACTTATAATAACATTTGAATCAATGTAGAGCAGGGTGTGAGAGAGACGGAGCCATAATCTTAATAACAATTCTATATGGATGTTTATTACTCAATCACATCAGAAAGGCTCAGCGGAGGTAGATGTATTATAGCAGTGAGATAGACTACAGCAAAACAACTAGCTAGCAAACATACCTTC